GCCAGATAATCCCTCAGTTTTAACACCGAAAGGCCTGTGTCCTGGGAAACCCGTCAGTCTCAGGCAAACCAGGATGATTGGTGACGCTGTGAGGAGCCCAGGGATGAAGGGAGTTGCCACAGTGATGCTGTTGTTGCCCACAATGGGGGAATGCTCCAGTGGTACTGTCCTGGACGTGTGGCCAGCATGTGGCTGCTTGGCCTTTTCAAGCAGAAAGCAAAACATGGACTCATTCACTTACTCACTTCATTCAACAAACGTCTATTGGGCACTGTGTTAGGAAAATTCAGCCTTTCCCTCCATTGTTGTCTCCCTTGTTACTCACACAGAGGACCATACTCAACACACGTCTGACACCAGATGTGGGGGGTTTTTCCCACATCAAGCAATTCTCTGCAATGACAACTGGGTGTCCTGGAATTTAACTCAATTCCGACACCCTCTACCTGGAGATAGCATCATATGGAACAGGTTAAGGGCTCAATCCCATGGGAATGCTCCCCACCCCACTTCAGAGGCTGATCGCAAGCAGTAGATGCCCAGGTTACCCACAACTTCTGTCCCAGTTGGCTACACATCAGAGGTTCCCATGACCTCCTACTCCTTTGGGTTCAATTAATTTCCTTGAGCGGCTCACAGAGCTCAGGGAAACACTTACTTAGACTTACAAGTTAACGGCCACATGAAGAGATACCAGATAGCCAGATAGGGCGAAGTCTGGGAGGGTCCTAAGCGCAGGAGCTTCGTCCCCGTGGAGTTGGAGTTTGTCACCCTCCCAGTGTGGATGTGTTCATCCACCTGGAAGCTGTCTGAACCCCATCCTTTTGGGATTTCTATGGAGGCTTCATCATGTAGGCATGATCAATCATCAAATCCATTTCCAGCCCTCCTCCTTTCTCAATAGAATGGGGATGGGGCTGAAAATTCCAGGCTTCTAGTTAGGACTTCACCAGCCCTGGTGGTCTAGTGGTTAAGATTCGGTGCTGTCTCCGCCATGGCCTGGGTTTGTTTCCTGGTCAGGGGACCACACCGCCCGTCTGTCACACTGCAGCGGCTGCGAGGAGTCACGGTCGACTCCACAGCACTAACAACAATCATGACTTGGTCTTTCTGGGGACCAGCCTTCTTCCAGGAGCCCACCCTGAGTTGCTTCATTAGAACAAAGACACTTCTATGACCCAGGAAATTACAAGGGTTTCGGGAGCCCTGTTGTGCCAGGAAGTAGGGGCAGAGACTAATGTCTATTTTCTCTTAGTTCAAGCACCTACTATGTAGACCTGGCAGGCACCATTTTAGGTGCTGGAGATTTGATGTGAGCAAGCCAGATAAAATCCTTGCTCTCATGAAACTTACATTTTAATGAAGGAGATAGATAATAAACAAATTTAAAGCACAGCTCTATAATGAGAACTGTTGATAAGTACCATGAAGAAAATTAATGCAGGGTACAGGGAAGAAGATGGAAACTGCTATTTTTAGTAGGATAATCAGAGGCCTCTCTCTGTGAGGTAATATTTGAACAGAGACAAGGATGAAACAAGGGAAAAAGTTGTGCAAGTATCTGGGGGAAGAGGGTGCCAAGAAGAACCAGCAGGTGCAAAGGCCCTGGTGGAGGACATGCCGAGCTTGCTTGAAGGACCATGTGGAGACCAGCGTGGTCGGTGTTGAGCAAGCAAGGAGGAAAATGATGGGAGATGGGGAATTGGCAGATGGGTCAGGTCCCATAGCCGTGCTTGATTCTGCGGGTGTGACAGAGACCAATAGGTATAAAGACTGAAAGGACACACGGTTGCCTCTGGAGGCTGAGAGTATGCCGTTGGAAGGAAGACTAACTTTCTCCTATGTATTCCTTGGAATGCTTTGCATTTTAAAAATCATGTGCAAGAATTACTTTTTAATCTAATAGCTTAACATAATAAAAATGGATTTATAATAATTTTTAAATAATTAATACAAAATAAAGGGCAAAACCTGAGTTGCCGCTGGGTGCAGTTGGAAAGGAGAGCCACGGTTGTTTGTCCACCCTGGGGACAGGGCTGCCGGGACAGCAGGACTTGAGGCGCAGAGGTGGCAGTGGTGTTTGTGCAAGAGAGAAAACAAGAGCAAGGAGCCCAGCAGAGGCGAGGAGAGTCTAGCCTTCACCAGTCCTCAAAGCGGGAAGCTGGGCTTATCGATACTGATCGGAGGAGAACAGAGAGTCACAGATTCATCCTGGATCTTTTATGATTTAACCGTTAGCCAGATTGGCTTGGCTAATGTTGAGTGAAATTCTCTTTCAGGCAAAAAATCGGGATGGGCAAAGTTTTAACTCCCCTCCCCCAATTGTGTAATGATGAGTTCTTCCATCCTAATGCGGGAAGGTAAAGAGAGCTAAAAATAAGTTTGCAGTGACCAGAGCCCTCCAGGAGAAAAACGAGGATCTAGAGAGCTCCTGAATAGGATTGGGGTGCAATGGGGAGAGGCTGTGAATAATGAAATAAATGCCAATCCCAAATGGGGCCTGCAGGCATCGGGAGTGAGACCTCCCTGCCTCTCAGAACAAGATGACTAACAGCTTCCAAAATATTAGAGGAACTTTCCATGAGGGCTGTTAAATTAACCTACACCTTTATTCCCCGGACACATTTTTAGAAAGGGCTCGGGTGTGTGGGTGGGGTGTCCTGCCAAGCTTGGCAAAGATCCTCCTCGTTTTTTGCGGAGAGAGGAGAGGCCTCCCACCCCTCCGCCTTTGCAGGATAGAATGTGGGAGGGTCCACACGGCATTCGGCGGCCCCTCCTTCCCCTGGAGCTTCTCTCCCTTTGCTCCCCTGCTGGGGCTGTCTCTGCCTTGGGAGTCAGGGTCCTCTCCAAAATCTGTTTTCTAGACACAGCTCCCAGGAAGAGAGCAGACGTGTCAGGGTGCTTACTCCAGGCCCCATTCTTGTCCCCACCCCCTTTATCTCCAAAAGTGAGGATGGCAGCAGAGATCTCACTTGGGCTGACTATTCTCAGGCTTCAAACCCACCAGAAGACTGGGACCCTCTGAGTCCCGCCCTTCTCCCCACTTCTGCTTAGGAAACAAAATCTCAAGTTTTCCCACGTAGAGAATTTTGCTTGTCTCTAAAAACGGTTGAGTTCTGTGTGTTTTACTTCAAATAATAAAAAAGGCAAAAAAGAAAAGGAAAAAAAAAAATTTGGTATGATGTCCACTTAGGGAAAGAGAATAAATGTAGTCATTTAACCAATCCAGAGGGAGCGCCTGCTGGGTGCCAGGCACTGTTCCAGGCCCTGGGACTCACCCCATCCCTGCACTTACAGAGCTTACATCTAGCGAGGGAGACAGACAATAAGCTATAAACCTAATAAACAAGTACACTACCTAGTGTAAGGAATGGTGGTGAACGCTGCAGAAAAAATAGAGACAAGTGAGGGAGGTTGGGAGGTCCAGGACAGGGTGGCATCTTGGAGTTCTCCTCAAAGTTAGAATAGAACAGACACAGCATGTGTGGCCTAAAATAGGGCCTGGCACCCAGGAGGTGCCCAGTAAAGTTAACTTCCTTCCACTCAAAAAAGTACCTAAAAGTTCTCATAACTCAGAGTTGAATTTTAGCCTTTACACATGAGCAAGAAACAGCAGCTAAAGACCAAACAGAGGTGAACAATACAAGAAAACCACACCACAGCCAGGATCTCATTTTTGGTTGTATTGTAGGGGGCAGTATTTATCAAGTTAAAGAATCTATTTTCTGATTATACTTTTCATTGTATACAAATGTAAAGCACGTTTCCAGCACCTGGAGGAAAGATAAGACTGTACCTCACGTATGCCTCTGAATTCAGGAGCCTAAGGCTGGCACTGAGCACAGGAACCCCTTTTAAAGTGTTTCTTGGTCTGGGTGGGATTACATGGGTATATGCATATGAAAGAACTCATGCAGCTGTAGCTTAAGATTTGTATGTTTAAATTATATCTCAGTAAAAAAGAAAGATGTAGGGGCCGGCCCTGTGGCCTAGTGGTTAAGTTCAGCACACTCCACTTTGGCGGCCCAGGTTCATGGGTTTGGATCCCAGGTGCAGACCTACACCATTCATCAGCCATGCTATGGCAGTGACCCATATATAAAGTAGAGGAAGATTGGCACAGATGTTAGCTCAGGGCTTATCTTCCTCAGAAAAAAAAAAAGAAGAAGAAGAAAGATGTGATTACCATTGACCTTGAACTTGAGTACCACTGGCAGTTCTTGAGCACTCAGTCCCTGCACTGGGAGGGGTCCTTGAGCCTGGGCACAGGCAGGACAGATTCTCAGGACAGGGGCACAGGGGAATCTGCCCAGGGACACCCGCATTGTGCAGAAACCCCAGGCAAGCCTGTGATCACACTGCCTTTACTGATGTCCCTGTCACTCCTTGAGAGCCTTGAACTGGGTGGGGGAACAAAATACCCACACAGGAAACAACCAGAGAGCAAGTCCGGGCAAGGCCACCGGGTCTCAGGGACAAAGCTCTTATCCTGCTGAGCAGGCACGTCTTCCCTGCTTCCCGGCATCTGTGACAGGCAGCCACTGAGGAGCAAGGTCACGGCGTAGTCTCAGGCTGTGTGAGGAGTGGTTGTCTGTGCCCAAGAAGGCTGCTGGCTGAGTAAACATGGACATGGAACCACCCTGTCATCTCCATCTGTCTCGCTCTGTCTCTGTCTCTTTCTCTCTCCCCATGTGAGTCTCTGTGACTCTCTCTGCCACATAGACACACCCAAGATTCTACACCTTCTTTGCCGGATACCCAACAACCATCTGAGGATGTAGAGACCCAAACGATCCCAAGGTCCATGTGCCCACATTGTTAGACACTTACCGTCTGAACCCTCAGAGATTTTAGCTGTTTTTACTAGGAAAGCATGCCTCTTGGAAGGGTGGTCTTTGCTTGGGAGGCTGGAGTACCAGGGGCCTAAGTACGCCCAGCAGACACAGGTGGGTGTCCACCCCTCAGCCACTCACTGGGCTCCTTCCTGTTCTTCTCCGCAGGAGGCGGTGTCGCATTGCCCAGAAGAAGGCCAACTGGCCCGAATCCAAAATGTTATCCAGGAGCTTCCCCCATCCCATTATAGGTAAGAATCCTCGGTAAAAGAAATCCACGGTTTTCAATGTGACGTAACACCAAAGCGGCCGGCTGGTGTCATAAAAGCGAACCAGTTCAGTGGACAGTGGCTTTCCTGGGGCAATTTGAGGTGGGTGAACAGGTCACTTTTATCAGAGTGAGTTGGTGCCTGACCAGGGACATTGGCAAGGAGAGGCAGCCCACGTCTAGGTCACTCGCAGGGCACCCCTCAGAGTCCCACAGAAAGTCGTTCCTATCACACAAGCCAGCCTCACAGTGACATCCTAGGGTCTTACCCAGATTCATAGCATATCCAAATCTGTGGAGACCAAGATGGCTTTGAAACAGAGTTTGCCTGTAACTATTGAGGGACTGGCTGACTGATGTCTCTATTTGCTCATCAGTACCATACCTTCCGTCATCCCATCCTTTCATTTCATTCTCACAATGTAGCCCCTAATTTTACCACCTTTCCCAGTGTTCCCTATGCCTGCCCATCTTTCGCAAGGGGCAGATGTTGATGAAGTCTAAGAGAGCACTTTTTAGCAATAATAGATGTTATTCATCCATGAAATGAGCTCCCTAACAAGTACCACGTTACCTGTAGCTGGAAGAACCATAAAGAGAGCCAGGATAAGAGCTGGTTTCAAGATCATGGAGGCCATTCTGCCCTGGGTGCAAGGAGAAACAGGGAGTCACTAAGAAACCAGGCTCTGTGGCGCTGTGATTCCCTGCTTCTGTTTCTGGCTGGTGCCCAAGGGCCTCAGCTGACTTCTGACCAGACCGTCTCCCTTCCCCACCCAGGGCCAGCATGCCCAGGGCCAAGAAAATTACTTCCATCAATCTTGATATCTTCCTGATACTCCTCCAAAATTCATAAGATAGAAATATTTAGAGTCTCTTAGAGCCAAACTTAGAAATTATCTCCAGATGTCAGGCGTCACACAGGCACGGAAGTTTCTTACTTTGTCAAAAAAAAAATGAACCATTACAGGACCTTGGAATACCTGATTCGACACCTGGCCCACATTGCCTCCTTCAGCAGCAAGACCAACATGCATGCCAGGAACCTGGCCCTGGTGTGGGCACCAAACCTTCTCAGGTAACCGCCATACCCTCACCTTCTCACCACCCAGTGGGCTCAAAGCAGGCCACTAATTGAAACAGAGACTGGATTCTTCAAAATCGAAGCCCCTTGAAGACGAACCTGTAGCTAAGTGGTCATTTGTAGCACATATGAATTAAAGGTGATTTTAACAGGCTAAGCTCTTTGCCTGCTAACCTGGAAACTCTGGGTTCCAAAGGCATTTTCTGGCTACAACTGGGATGTGGCTGAAGTTATGGATCTGTATGTTGTAATTTCTTGAAAAGGCCTTTCTTGTCTTTGGGGTTCATTGGCTTTTGTTGGTTTTGGTGGCATCACAGCTGACTATAACCTGAATGAGCTGCTTCATATGGTTTGATAAATGGTGACCTGCCCCGTAGAACAATTGGGTGGTGGTAGAAAGAGCTCCTATGAAGGAAAAAAATCATTTCCTATATCTTCACTAATATAGTGTTTATAGTCTTACAATGGGTAATACCAGGTAACTGTTCTCAAGTTGTTCAGTTTGTTGGGCTTCACAGTCTTTGGAGAGTCCCTTTAGTTAGTCTGAAATAGTTAAAATATTCTACAGATTAATAAGCCGTATACCTCTAGGAGGTGGGGCTTATACAAAAGACCCACTCACTCCCCCGTACACTTCAAGTTGTAGGGCAGACTCGCTCACCGAATGTGTTTCTTCTGCAATTTAGGTCCAAAGAAATCGAAGCCACTGGTTGCAATGGAGACGCAGCCTTCCTGGCAGTCCGGGTCCAGCAGGTGGTGATTGAGTTCATATTGAATCATGTGGACCAAATCTTTAACAATGGTGCACCCAGCTCTCTGGAGAATGACGGTAACGGCTCCTCCTGGCATACACCCCACCAGCCCAGCCTTTCTCGTCTTAGTGATGGGGCACAAGCATAAGTCAGGGTTGGCTTGGTTCTAGCTCTGAGTGTAGGCTGCGTGCGTGCGCTGGTTACTGTGTGTGTCATTGTCTAGAGATCAATGCATGTAGACATCCGTGTGTGTGCAGCAAAGGTGTGATGTGTTTACTTGTGGCTATAGTATGTTTCTGCTCACTTGCATACATGGCCTATTCCATGAATGTGGCGTGGTGAGTAATGTTTTACTGGTGAGTTCTTAAACTCTTGGAGGTGTTATCTAGAGGCACTGGCAACATTCCTCCCTTTAACTATTAGATTTCATCTTTACTTTCAGCATGATATTTCAAAAGACCTTTGTGCCTTCATCCTCAAGCCTTAAGTGAAGGAGTTAAGGGCAGCCTGTTTGTACTCACAGGTGTATTCAGAATGCATTCTCTTCAAAAGCATTTCTTGAGTGCTTACTTTGTTCTGCCCTGCACCAGGCATGAGGAATACAAAAATGAGTGTGTGTTTGTGGGCATGTGTGTGCAGAGACTAGTTAGCGTTGAATCTCACTGTGCCATATTGGGAGAAAGATAGAGCTGTTTTAGCCTGGATGTTATGGGATGCAAAATATGGCATTTCAGTCCTGTAGCTTTTATAATGGCATAATGAACCCTAGGAGTGAATTGGTTAATGCTGCTTGAACTCATATGAGGCAAATATGTAAAAACCAGAAATCCAGTTGATTAAGAATTCTTGCCTGGTGACCACAATTTGTGTGAGTGGTTTTCCAACATTAGAGCACATCAAAACCACCTGGAGCGCTTGTCAGAACACACATTCCTGGGCCTCATCCCCAGAGTTTCTGATTCAGCAGGTCTGGAGTGCTGCTGAGAATTCGTATTTCTAACAAGTTTCTAGGTGAGGCTGCTGGTGCTGGTCAGGGTCCACACCTGGAGAACCAGTTGTGTATGAGAACCATATCTGCAAAACATTTGTGCTAGCTGATCAAAGCATTCTTTTCCAGTTCAGCTAATAATTTGGAAAAACCAAGTATAATCATCAGAGATAATTAATTGCAATTAGCATCAAATTTGATTTCTGGTATAATTGTTCCCACCCTTACCCTGTCTTCTATGTGGTTTATGACCTTTTTTTAAAATTTTTTTTATTGAGATAAAATTTATATAACATAAAATTCAGCATTTGAATCATTTTAAAGGGTACTATTCAGTGGTTTTTAATATAATCACAGAATTGTGCAACCATCACCACTATCTAATTCCAGAACACTTTCATCACTCCAAAAGAAAACTCCATACTCAATAAGCAGTCATTCCACATTTTCCCCTCCCCACAGATCCTGGCAACTGCTAATCTATTGTCTATCTCTATAGGTTTGCCTTTCTGGACATTTTGTATACGTGGGATCATACAATATGTGGGTTTTTGTAATTGACTGCTTTCACTTAGCATGTTTTCAAGGTTCATCGATACTGAGCATGTATCAGTACTTCATTCCTTTTTGTGACTGAATAGTATTCTATTGTATAGATAGACCACATTTTGTTTATCCATTCATCAGTTGATGGCCATTTGGTTTTTTTCTCCTTTTTGGTTATTATGAATAATGCTGCTGTGAGCATTCATGTTAAGTTTTTGTGTGAACATATGTTTTCAGTTCTCTTGGTTGTGTACCTAGGAGTGGCTGATCTTTCTTTTATCTTTATTTTAACTCTTCTACTATAGATGTATATTTTGTTCTAAGCTACATAAATGCTTTGTGAAAGTAAGTAAGAAGTAATATGCATTCATTCATTCATCCTTTTGAGTCAGCTGATAAGTTAGTGGGGACTTATTCTATGCCAGGAACTCTTGCAGGCATTCCACACACATCATCTCATTGGCTTATCACAACCACCATGAAGAACCAGAGAACCAGAAAGCTTAGTAACTGCCCAAAGCCACACAGCTAGTAACTGGTGGCACTGAACATTGAACTTAAAGCTTTCAGCCCATGCTCTTTCCTTAACTCCGTGCTGCCTCTGTGAGGAAAAAATAGGAAAATAGGCAGATAAGGCGTTCTGGAGAATTATTACCTTTTGGGAAATGTCCTTCTAGACAGCAAATCCCATGCATGACTGTTAGTGTTAAGGTTCTTCCTAATTCCAACCTGGGGATGCCAGTTCTCTTTATGACCATTGCCTTAATCATCTTTCGTCCTGCACATTGAAATCCGATTTACTCTTTAGCCTTTAACTCTTGATTGCCTCCAATACTTATTTTTCAGTAATTTCATTTAAAGCTTCTTGTTATGAATTCATATTGACTTTGGTAAGGTACCACACCTAATGTTTACACAAAATAGAATAAGTCAGACCCTCTGGAATTTGAGATTTGGAAATAGGGTTCTATTTCAAACTGGAAAGATTTTAGAAGTCATAGAACCCAATACATTTAACTGATAAATGAGAGCAATGAGGCCAGAGGGATTGTGATATACCCAAGACTCATGAAAACATAAATATGTATCGAGCACCCCCTGGGTGCCAGGCCCTGTTCTTGACACTGGGGCAGTGCCAGTGCACAAAACAGCAAAGACCCTGCCCTGCATAGAGCTATGCTCTGCTTGAGAAGACCGGCAATAAACAAGTGTACAAGTAAATACATTATCCCTTCAAAGAATAAATGCCCTGAAGAAAATACAGCAGGGTAACATGATGGCCAGTGACTTGGGGGTGTTATCTTGGTACAGAGTGGCCATGGTCTCTGAGGATGTGATCTTTGAACTGAGACCTGAATGACAAGAGGAACCAGTCATGTGAGGATCTGGGGACAATGTTCCAAACCCAGAGAACAGGGAGTGTAAACGCTCTGAGGCAGAAAGGGCTCATAGTGTTGCAGAACGTCAGCCAGTGTGGTCTCCAAAGTGGGTGCCCCACCCTAGTGGGTGCCAAAGACCAAAATACCCAAGTATGGGTGTTGGAAGAAACTATGAGAATTTCTTTTTCATCTATTTTTATTGTATGCTTTGTAATTTCTATGATTTTGCATGTTTTCGATTACACATAATACAAGCATAGTGGTATATATGTATAATTTACAAATATATGTGTGTATATAATGAGAGTATACATTAAAAAACTTGTCCTGTATATTTTTGTAGACTACTGGGTGATTGGGTGAGAAGGAGAAGGAAAGCAGATGGAAGGTCCTGGTCGGTCATGCTGGGAGTTTGTTCTCCGTGCCATGGGAAAGCATTGGAGGATTTTGAGCAGGGAGCACAGGATCTCAGCATTCTGGCTGCTGAAAGGCAGCAAGGCTGGAAGCAGGGAGACCAGTTAAGGAGCTATGGAAAGACCTCAAGAAATGGGGTGGGAAACCATGGCAGCCTGGACTACATGTCAGCAGTGGAAAGGGGAAAGTGGCTGGATACAGGATATATATTGGAGGGAGAATTACAAGACTGGCTTATGGGCCAGATGTGGGGGGAGGGGGTGCATCAAAGAGAGGAAAGAATGAAAAATAACTACTTCAGGTTTTGGCTTAATGCAACTGGGTGATCCGTGGTGCCATTTACCAACTTGGAGAAGACGGGAGGAGGTACTAGAGGTGAGGAGCAGAAATCACAAGCTTTGTTATGAAATGTAAAGTTAGAGATGCCTATTAAACACCTAAGCAGAGACGCTGAGTAGGCCTACGGGAGCCTGGAACTCAGGGGAGAGGCGGGTGCTAACCCAAGGCCTCAGACTGTGCAGTCTGTGTTCTGCCCACTGTTCCAGTTGCTTCCAGAGTGATTTAATTTTTTAAGTAAATAAATAATCAACAAAACCATAAATAATCTAGACTCTATGAACAAACGCTGAGAATAAATTAAATTTAAATATTTTAACTTCCTGTGGATTAAGTCGGAAAACTTGGGTTAAAGTCAGAAACTGTACTGAGAAGTTTTCTGGACTGCAAATTTACTGGATGGCATCCTGCTGAAGGACGGCGACGCTGTCCTCCCTGGAAACACCCAGTGTTACCTACTGTCTCCATTTTCTACAACGCCCCTTTTTCAGTAGTTTTATTTCCCTCTGAAATAAGAGACAGGGTCACACTCTGCAAAGAGAAATAGTGCCCTCAAGGTGCTTTTGAAAATTAGGTGAGTTCTGTACCAAAAATGACTTCTTAGTCTTAGTTGACCCCGGTTATCCTTGAGGCTTTTCACACCTTCTGAAGTTACAGAAAACTGGCAAGGTTGCCGCAAGACTAACTAGAGGCAAACTTAGGCCTCTTTTTTTTCACTTAGATCAGGATTTCTCAGCCTTGGCACTATTGACATTTGTGCTGGATAATTCTTGTTGTGGGGCTGTCCTGTGCTTTGTAGGATGTTATCAGCATCCTTGGCCTCTACCCATGAGGTGCCAGGAGCACTCCCACACACACTTAGGACAACTCAAACTGTTTCCACAAATTGCCAAATGTCCCTGGCTGGAGCAAGGGGGTATGAAATCACCCCAAGTTGAGAACCACTGACTCAGAGAAAAGAGATAACCCTGGACACCAGCAATCTGCCATCATCACTTCTATTTCTCAAAAAAAAACCATATAAGGAAGAGGTTAGCTTGCATGCACTTGAAGATGACTGGGTAGTGAGTCAAACGCCACTTATCTTTTAGGGAATAGTATAGGCTGTAAAATGTCTTTCTGTTGCAGAGATATAAGCCCAGGTGATGGAGGGAAAGTACAGGCTCCAACCTTAAATTGCCTTGAGCCTGTGGTCCCCAGCTGCAGAGAGGGGGATAGTCTCCTGCTTTCCCCTAGCTGAGTTAGGCTCCCTCCGTGGCTGGACATTCAGTCCCACCTGGCCAAAGCACTAGGCAGTTCCCAGGGGCAAAGACCCACTGCTGCTGCTCTGGCCCACAGTGAGTGCTCAGTAAATGTTTGTCATTGAATGAATGAATGAATGAATGATCCCTCTCTGAAAAGGCCAGAACTACAGATTACCTCCTGAAGCCCTTGTGTGCCTTCAGCTAGTCTAGCCAGAAGGGTTGTCAGTTTCCTGTGGGCAGCCTCTGCCCTAGACCCTACCAGGCCCAAGAGAAGCCCCCCTGTCAGTAGGTCAGGAATGGAGGGTCTGTGGATGGGGAATCTGGCTGGGCCCAGCACATAGGCCTCCTCCCAGGAGGTCTGTGAGCTTTTCTCTTTTTTTATAGAAAACCGGCCCATCATGAAGAGCCAGACCTTGCCAGCCCTCTCTCCACCCATGAAGTTGGTGAGCCTGGAGGAAGCTCAGGCTCGGAGCCTGGCTACTAATCATCCCGCTCGGAAGGAAAGGAGAGAGAATAGCCTGCCTGAGATTGTCCCTCCCATGGGCACCCTCTTCCACACCGTCCTTGAGTTACCAGACAACAAGCAAGTGGCATTCTTTTGAATTCTGGGAGATGTTTGGGTGGAGGGAGACAGAGGAGGAAGGTGTGCAGTCTCAGGGCCATGATGGCAGCATGGGTTGGGGGTGTCATCTGCGCTGGGGTGTAGGGAAACATTCCAGAAGAGAAGGGAGCTGTCTCCACAACTGTCTCTCACCAGCAGCTGATGCCTTCACTCACTGCCCCAGAGTTAGCAAGATCCCCGATCCCGTAGAGGAGAGCCCGAGAACCGTGGTGGGGGTGGAGTCATAGGGGTCAAGAGTCATGACTGAAATCCTTCACTTCTTAGTTTAGACAAAACAGGCTGGACATTTTCCAAAGGAAGTTTGCTAAAAACAAAAACTCGACCCTGTCACCCCCATCCTCCACCTCCACAGAGCATTACAACAGCCCTATATAGAGATGAAAGGAGGACAAGTTGACAGAGAGTGCCACTCTGGACTGACAGCTGTGGGCTGCACTTGGGGACATGCATCCCTGGCTTCCATTCCCCACCTCATACCTGTCAGAGCCCTCCCTCTCCTCCAAAAGCAAGCAAAACATCATTTTCATTCATAGGAGATTTTCTTTCCTTATTCCTCCCTCTCACTTGTTCTGTGTAACCCTGGTCTCCACACGCCCCTCCTCCCCCCTCCCCCTCACACCTGTGTCAAAGGAGGCAGTGACTGAAGCAGGAAACCTAAATTCTAGGCAGACAGTAGGTGGAGGAGCTGCAAGGCAATCTTTTTGCTGGAGATGGTCATCCTCACTGTTTGGTTCCGGAGAAGAGGTATGAAAGCAGACACCTCAGACCTCTTGTCAGTTCGCTTCCCAGGATGGCAGGGCTGTTTCCCTTTGAGGGGGAGAAAGACCACTGCCACATTGCACAACTGTAGGAGGCAGCTGTCACACTGCATGTTATGGGAATAGCACACCTGGAACTCACCTGGCAAGAAGCCCTCCGTTTCCTGGAGTGCAGGGATGGTGCTCTCTCAAGACTGAGCCCCACTGCTCCTCCCCCTAAACCCCTGGAGAGTTAGTCTCCCACCCACGGGTCAGGAAGAAGTGAATCTCAGAAGGACCTCTGCCTTCAACCACACCTGGGTATGTGACCCTGTAAAATATACCCAAAGTCAAGTGCTTGATAAAACCAGGCCAAATCCAGAAAACACCACCACGCACTGCACGTCTCTCTCTGACTGATCGTAAAATACGCTGGGCTTGAGAACTGGATGTCCAAGAGAATACTGCAGAGAAAAGGTCCCTTGTGGAACCCACAAGTTGCAGGGTTTCTTCCTGGAACTTTATGAAGTCCAATAGCTGGGCCGAGCCAGAGCAGGGCAAGGCGCCTGTGGTGACCCCTGGTGGCGCCAGGCTCTCTGGACCCAGTCTAGCACTCTCCTTCCCCTGCCCCCTACTGAGGCATCAGGGAAGTGGGAGACAAAGCCGGAGACACACTCACTGCCCTCTGCATTTCTCTGCAGCGACCGCTGACCGCAGGGCAGCCTGCCACCCTCCCAGGCCAGACCCTTTTCCAAGTTGCTTTCTCATCCACCCTCTTTCCAGCCTGTGAAAGTCTTCAGCAGCCCTTTCCTCACCTGTGGATATGCCAGCAGTGTGGCCACAGTGCAGGGAGAATAACAGGACTGAGGCCTATGGTCTTGAGTGTTTACTCCCATAAAAAAGAAGTATCTTTGAAAACTCAGGACTGAGTGCTTGCCAGAATTCCTACCAGAATTCCCAGAACTGTGTGGTTGCTCATGACCTCTGAGTCCCCCACCCATCCCTGCCTCTGTTTGCCCCACCCCTGCCTCTAACAGCACGCCTTCGCCCCTTCCTCTGGGGATTGTGGTCCTTTGCTCTGGTGTGGAGACCAGGGTTACACAGAACAAGTGAGAGGGAGGAATAAGGAAAGAAAGCCTAGCTTGGTCGCCTCAGGCATCCCTAGACAGTGTGAGAGGCAGGCCCAACTTGAATATTAGAGAGGTGTTTCCTGAAATGTCAGAGCCATTCATAGCTAAGAACATGACTGGGGTAGTCCTTGTCAATTTAAATGTCCCGCTGAAGTGACTAGTTACTAAACTAACCTTTTATGGCTTGGCTCGTTCAGAAGAAAGCTCTCCAGTAAATCGAAGAAGTGGAAATCAATCTTTAACCTGGGCCGTTCCGGATCCGACTCCAAGTCAAAGCTGAGTAGGAATGGGAGCGTGTTCGTGAGAGGACAGAGGCTCTCAGGTGAGACTCAGCAAGCAGTTATGTTTATGAGATGGATACTTTTTCCTAATTCTGCTTCTTAAGTCTTTCGTTTTGTCGACGAAAATAATCCATAACCAATTTGTAAATGAAAATTTGGGTGAGTTTATTCTGAGCTTAAATCTGAGGATTATAACCCAGGAGAGTCTTTCCACAAAGGAACAGAGCACTACAAAGAAGTGGGGGTATACAGGGTGGTTATATACCCTCAGAGAGTATGTTTCACATATGATTGAAATGTCCCTTTTACAATAGTCACGAGGCTGCTCTGTCAGCACAGTGACTGATGGAAACAGCAGCTAGGCCTGCTGTCTCAGTGAACCCTGCGGGGTGGCAGGTCCGTTGCCTCAAGCTGGGCAGTCACAGATGAGCGCTGCAATCTAAAGAAAGTTCCCAGCCTAAAGAAAGATGCTTAATTTTTAAGGAGATGCCAACGTTGGGAGGGGGAGGGAAGTTGCACCTTTATCTCAAAATGTCTAAGCAGATATACAATGCATGCTCAATGGCCACAGTCAGGCCCTTTTGGAAAAACAAAGTCAGGCCGAATTAGGTTTATACCAAATGGCTTCCTCATATACGCCAATATATCCTATTGCTTGCCATTTTTATTTGTCAGTTTGATCACATCAAGCTACCTAACCCTGAAACAGAAACTTATAAATTAACTAGGGAGTCTTTTCTTTCTTTTAGATAATTTTAGATTTGCAAAAATGGTACATGGAGAACCCATATACCCTTTACGTAATTTCCCCAAATGTTAACATATTACATAACCATAATACAAAGATCAAAGCCAGAATATTAGTATCAATATAATACTATTAAATAATTCACCATCTTCATTCATATTTGGCCAATTGTCCCACTAACGTCTTTTTTCTGGTCCAGGAACCCACATTGCATTCAGTTGTCATGCATCCTTAATCTCCTCCTGTCTAAGACAAGTCCTCAGTCTTTCTGACCTTGACACTTTGGAAGAGTACTGGCCATTTACTTTGTAGACGATACCTCAGTTTGTGTTTGTCTGATGTTTTCTCATGATTAGACTGAGGTTATGAATGTTGTGTCTGTCTCAGTGTGTCCTATCAGGAGACACATGGTGTCAACATCTTATGGCTGGTGATGTCAACTTTGACCACTTGGTTAAGCTGTCTACAAGGTTTTGTCCCTGTAAAGTTACTATCTTTTCCTTTGCAATTAGTAAGTATCTTGTGGGAGATATTTTGAGACTATGCAAATATCCTGTTACTTAGCATACTTTCATCCATGACCTTTAGCATCCGTCAGTGGTTCTTGCCTGCAACAGTTATGATTGTGGTGTTTGCCAAATGGTCATTGTCTATTTCCATCCTTCCTTCTACATTTATTCATTGAACTCTACCGTAGGACGCTCTGACCCCTCTCCCCCAGGGTCAGGTCATGATTCTCACGTGGGGATGCTGCCCTGTGGGAATTCTATCTGAGTCGTGAATAGGAATTGATGCAGGAGGAACTGAGGGAACCACTATACAGTGAGGAACATAACCAATCCAGCTGAATATTATGTCAGAAAGAGAAGATTCAAAAGAAATTTGCCATAATGACCTTTAGTGTTATAGATTGAAGGTATGATTTTTAAAAATGGAGGCAATAGTTGTGAAAACAAGTTGAAAAAGGTAAATGTACAAATGCAGTGAGGAAACCTTCACTGGTGGATCCTAGCTGGGGGGGGGGGGGGGGGGGGGGGGGGAAGGACCACAAAAGATAATTTGGGGGACAAATACATTGAATATTAGAATTGTAGATTTTCATCATGTGCAAGTGGTTCTTAGGAGATAGTGCTAAAGTTGAAGTATTTAAGGCGAGGTGTCAAAATATTGAAATGCACTTGCAGATGATTCACCAGAATATAGGCAAGCAGATATAGATAAAGATATATGGCAAAATATATATATTTTAATAAAATAAAAGATGTAGATAAAGATAAAATATACGGCAAAATGTCAATTTAGGTGGTAGGTTTAGAGGTCTTCAACTTTTCTGACTATTTGAAATTTTTAATAATAAAGATTTGGAGGGGGAGAGTAATGCCTTTAGGGAAAATAAGACATAAATATTTTTAAGGACATTCCTCGAACCCAGTGATAATTGTATGCCAAGGATCATAAAGTGCAGATGTTAGAAATCTTCGAGTTTCCCTATTAGAGTCATGAGTAACGAGGGTGTAGCTGTTACGATGATTCAGCTTGTAAATAATAGCAAATCCAACTCAATCAAGTCCTGGAGGAGAAAGAACGTCATTTCTGGCAGCTTGTTTGTTCCTGAGAGCAAAGATCCTTCTTTCCCAGAAGCCCTCATTCCACTCCCCCGCTGTCTCAGTTGCCTTCACTGAGTCACAAGGGTCAATCTTTATGGCTAAGGGAGTGCCCTGTGCTGATTGGCTTAGGCCTGGGTTCCTGAACCAATCACTGGCATGAGGAATGGGATTACAGCCAGACGCACTCAAGAAATGCAAGGACTCCGTGAGAAGGAGAAAGGGAAATAGATTCTGGGTAGGCATCTGCAATATTCATTATAGGGGGAACCATGTCTTTCACAAAATGCAAAGATAGCTCAGGTGAAGAGGGGAAGTTGCCTTAGGCATGGTAGATCAGATATAAATCAGAAATTAGGATTCTCAAAGGAGCATTTCAGGGGAGGAGTACCTGGCAAGAAACTCCTGATCTAATAAGAGATTTGCTTAAGCACATCAAAGAGAGAATTTCAGTTATAGAATCAGGGATACAATGAAAGAGGTTCACCAAGTAACGAAAAATCAAAAACAATAGAACAAAACAAACAAGGAAAAAATGAAACAAATGATTTGCCTTGATCTGGACTTAGGAAGATTTCCACCCCCGTGTGCTTTTCAAAAAGAGGAAGTCCAAGGTGCCGGATCAAACGGTGGTACATTCACAGAAGGCACAGGATGTCCTGGCCAGGGCTTCTCTGCACAGCTGCACCTCAGAATCACCCACAGGGTGTGGTTCACACCCACAGCAACTTGCCTGAGGTCTGTGGTGAAGTCAGGGTGTTGGTAGCGTTTAAAAAGCTCCCAGGTGATTCTGATATGCATCCAGGATTGAAGGCCACTGGTCTGATACCTCATGAACAAACTAATCAGAGATAGATCACCAAATTAGCTGAATTTTGAGGAGATGCAGGGATGAAATTAAAGAGCCATCAGTGTCAATACAAGGGGCTCTCTGTGACCTTGACTATTGCCTGAGTGGCCACTTTTCACCAGAGGAATGTTTCTGGAACCCTAGAAACTAAAGACTTGGTGGGGAGTTGTGGGGGGGCTGCTTTATGGTCATGATCCCCCAGCGTGGTCTCTGCAAGTGGCGCATGGGCTCACTATCTGTTGAAATATGCATGTGAAAAAAGTGAATCAGTGGATTAACATATTTAAATAATTTTTTAAATCTTGATAAAAGCTCCATAATTAAGAGCATTTAAAAAATTGATTCACCATGAATAATATTGGAGATTTTTGGGGGGAGCAGGGCAGGTAAAAGGGTGTTTGTTTAATCATATTTAGGAAATGGAACAGAAATGGAAAATAAATGATAAGAAAAACTGGGATATTGACTGAAGGAAGACACATAAACTTTGGAGTCTCCCGGGCACCAGTGTACTGGAATTTGTATATCATCAAACAGGGAGAGTCCAGGGAACCCTCCAAAGTGAACTCCTTTGAGCAGGAAAATCCCAAAGCCATAGGGATAATCTAAGAGAAGGGCCTCAAGGACCCCAGGGCTGCCAGAAAACTGGTGAATGCACCTGCATGAGGCCAGGCCAAGGTCCCAGACAGAAAAATATAATCTAAGTGTAGTCATGGGCCAAGGAGCCCTGTGCACTTAGTTACTATCCAGTAAAAGGGCCAGAGAATCCTTGGGGATTGTTCCCAAAAGCCACAGCTCTGATGTGCTGCTGTGGCCACCAAGGCAACACGGAACTGCATGGTCATAAAGTGGGTCCCACATGACAGGTGAACACTGATGGCCCTGCAGACAGAACTGTTTCCCATCCTCCACGACACTCAGGGTCACCTGGTCACTGCCCCTAAAGGCTGACACACGAAAACCAGAAGAAGTCCAGAAACACAGCCCCTAGAAAATAGAGGCAAATCTCGTCTCAGACACATGAATGAAGGGGCGCTGGCCAGGCCGTTTTAGGACAATAAGTCAGTTTGTAAACTTGTGGACATAGCAGATCTTGAAAGGACAAGAATTCTGGCCCACTGCCGGAAGGAAGGAGGTGGAAGGCCATCTCTGCCCTTGGAGGGTTTGAGTGAAGATGGCTGTGTCCTCCCACAGCACTGTGGGCCCCAGTGGGAGAGAGGCCCTGAGCTGGGGAGGCCAAGGGGCTAATTCAGAGCCTCTCAGAAGGAGAAGACTTTGGAGCAAGAGGGAAAAAGGGGGAACTTTCAAAGAGGGGAAAACAAGTGTGAGTTAGAGCCCTATTTGGTGTAGGGCCAACTCTGAGTGTTTCTTCTAGAACCATCTCCTGGCTTCCCCTTTGTGGCTGAGCCCTGGCCTTTACTAGGTAACACTGACAACGACAGGAGAGATAGTAACTTTTTATTGAGCATTTATTCTGTTCTAGGTTAGTACAACCTAACTACTTTATGTGCATTACACATTGAATCCTCACAACAGCTCTATCTTGCCTCATTTTACATACGAGAAAACTGAAGTTTAGAAAAGATAAGCTGCTTATCTGAAACCACACAGCCCACAGGTGGCAGAGATGGGATTCAAAGCCACGTCTGTCCGAATCCAGAGTTACCTGAAAGGCTACCGGTCCTAGGGCTCCCGCTTGGCTTCCAAACTGCCTTCTCTCCCCACCCAGCAAGCTTGACTTGAAGGAACTACCTTCCAGCCAATTCAGCAAACTGATAAGACATGATGTTCGTGAAAGTGCCTCCTCCTGTGCTTGGAATACTAAACCACATTCTTCCAAAAACCTGCTCAGGTGGCTTCCAAAGATGCATAGAGTACACCAGGCACATCGTAGGCGCACAAAAAAGCCTGGGCTACTTGGGATCTGCTCCAGCCTGAGGGTGGCGGGTGAGACCAAGTGGGGAGCAACCAGTCCGCAGACCTAGGAGCAGAGCTGCACATGGGGAGCAAGGTGTCTTCACCTCTCCTGGGCCCTCTCACAGGTTGTACCAAATACCTGGGTGCTGACAGATGTGGCTGCAGCAAGAATCCTGCTCTCCCCCTGCCAAATAGGCAGGGCTGCCTGGAGCCTCATGGGTTCCACCCCCTTGGATCAATCTTTGAATCCTTTATGTACATTAAAATTGGGTTCAGGACTCCTCATTTGCTGATAGCTATTTGGCAAAATGGTAATTTACCTTTATCTGTAAAATGTTAATAAAACTTTGATCTACAACTGCCGTGTTTTTATAAGGTCAGTCCCATTAAGAAAGTAGGAACAATCTAAGAGCGGAGTAGGGGAATGTTTTCCAAAGGGGAAAATGATAAATACTTTCCGAAAGAAAGTTCTCGTGTACTTACAGGCTGAGCTATTGTTCTGACTGCTTCCTCTTCAGGTGCATTCATCAGGGTTATTTTTTCTTTTGTCTTTAGTGGAAAAGGCTACTATCCGCCCAGCTAAAAGCATGGACTCGCTGTGCTCAGTGCCTGTGGAAGGTGAGATTTTTACATTCGGACTCGGAACCTGGAGCCTGGAGCTCCCACACCAGAGTGGCCTTCGTAAGCTGCTGGGCCTGCTCGTCTCCAGTCACCTCACGCCCAATCCCCCAGTCCCGACAATCCCCCAGTCCCAAATCCCTTCCTGACCCTTCCTGACCCCAAGGGGTTCACAGAGGCCTCGCGTGACCCTCCTCTACTCTGCCTGCCACACAGTGAGGCCTCAGGAGGTGCCCTCTCTCTCCAGCCTTCCTCTAACTGCAGCTGGAGATGACAGACAGCATTTCACATTCAAACCTGAACCCAGGCAAAGCTCAACACCTTTTGATGAGTGAACTGGTTTTTTTTTTTTAGGTTAGTTTTTTTTTTTAGTTTTTTAGTTTAAATAAATCGGAATTTTAAAAAAATGCGTCAACACCTAAAAGCCAAGGCAGAGGAGGCTTCCCCCTGGGGAATTAAGAAAAGTCAAGCTCTGGTTACTCAGAGTTTTGCTCAGAGTTTTGTGCCTAGATGCTTCTTTGTCTTGAATTTGCTTGTTTCCATAGGCATTAGCTTCATCATGCTTGCAAAGTCAGGATTTTGAGTTTGTAGATTCATTCATTCATTCATTCATTCACTCATAAACATTGATGGGCACCAGCTCCACGTCAGGCACATGTGAAGGATGACATCCCTTGTTGGAGTAGATGTGCACATACAGTTGCATGTCAGGTGACACTGTCACCAAAGTGTCACCCCCCTACGTTGGTTCTTAAAGCTCCACCTGGAAGTGCTGACCTGTACCTGCCTGTCCCTCTTGCTTCTGTTTTTGTGAAGTGGCTAAAATGCACGGTGGCAAGTCAGAAGGCACAGGGCTTCCCCAGCAGCAGACTGTTCAACCTCCCCCACATTTATCCCATGACTTCCCAACCTCTTTAATAGAAGACATTTTTCTCAAACAACTTCCAAAAATTAATTCTAAACTTGTAAAATATTCAGTGAGGTCTTTTTAAGCTGACTCGATCCTTTTAGCATTTTCCCACCTTTATATTCCTCCATTTGCTTTGGTTTTGAAACCTCTCGGGGGAGTTCTTGCCCGGTTTTAGGGAATTTAATATTTCAAAATCCCAGTCACCGTGTCTGTGGGCGTTGGGGGGGTTAGCCCACCTTTCTGGGTCTCAGTTTCTTCACGTGTTAAAGGACATTATTAGGCTTCCCCCACCGAGTGGTCATAAGAATTTTAAACCCAGGGCCGGCCCTGTGGCCAAGTGGTTAAGTTCGTGTGCTCCGCTGCGGCAGCCCAGGGTTTCGCTGGTTCGGATCCTGGGAGCGGACCATGGCACCGCTCATCAGGCCACGTTGAGGCAGTGTCCCACATGCCACAACTAGAAGGACCCACAACTAAAAAAATATACAACTATGTACCAGGGGGCTTTGGGGAGAAAAAGGAAAAATAAAATCTTAAAAAAAAAAATAAAGAATTTAAAATCCATTGCTGCCTAAGATGTCCAGCATAGCACTTGCTGTCTAGTTGGGAATTATTTCCAGGTCCCTGGCAACTCACTTGTCATCTCCCAGCTGATTTATTTCCCATAGAGATTTTTCTTTGCTTTGCTTTCACTTCTAAGTCAGTCAGGAACTCGCTGCTCACAGCTGTGCTTTCTAACATTTAGTTAATTTGCTTTTCTAGTTTCTCATCCTCTGAAGGAGGAAGCCTGGGAAAAGGCAGAGAGGTCTCACTGAGAAGAGCCTTCATTTCCTTGCTGGGAAATCAAACCCCTGTTTGGGTCCATCTGCCAGAGAAGACTTAAAACAATAAGTTTTAAAGTTTTAAAATAAAGCAAGATTCTGTTAATTTGCCCTTTCTCTTGTCTTCATTTTGAGCAAGCATCATTCTAGCATCTCCCACCAATCTTTTAATTTTTTCGTGATCTACATTTAATGCTCGGTGGATGGCTGCTCTGTGTGGCAATCTTAGCAGTGGCCTTTTGATGGAAACTGCTCCACCTGCAAAGTTTAAAAGGGATCCATATGACACGACGGCAGATGGTACTCTCGGGGCATCATGACAAAATTCTGTGCACATGAGAAGATGCTTCCTCTTGTCAACCACATGTTGTATACCTGTCGTTCTTAGGGTGGCTGTGCCCTTATTAGCATGCTGTGCCTTTCCAGTACTCAAGTATTGTGAGCCTGCCCTTATGGAGGGCGCTGTGCAGTCGTGTGTGTGCCCAGCCTGCTGACCATGTGTTTGCTTTTCATTAGGGAAAGAAACCAAAGGAAATTTCAATCGAACAGTCACCACCGGTGGATTTTTCATTCCAGCAGCGAAAATGCACTCGACCAGCACGGGCAGCTCCTGTGACCTCAGCAAACAGGAGGGTGAATGGGGCCAGGAGGGTATGCCGGCAGGGGCGGAGGGGGGCTTTGACGTGAGCGGTGACCGGAGCCAACTCCAGGGCGCTCAGGCCCGGCCGCCCCCTGAGCAGCTGAAGGTGTTCCGGCCCATCGAGGATCCCGAGGGCGAGCAGACGGCCCCCAAGATGCTAGGCATGTTCTACACCTCGAACGACAGCCCCAGCAAGTCCGTCTTCACCAGCAGCCTCTTCCAGATGGAGCCCTCGCCCCGGCACCAGCGCAAGGCCCTGAACATCTCCGAGCCCTTTGCCGTGTCCGTGCCTCTCCGTGTGTCAGCTGTCATCAGCACCAACAGCACCCCATGCAGGACACCCCCCAAGGAGCTGCAGTCTCTTTCCAGCCTGGAAGAGTTTTCTTTCCAGGGGTCAGAGAGTGGAGGTTGGCCTGAAGAGGAGAAGCCACCGGGAGCTGAGACTTCTACAGGTAAAGGAAGAGAGAGGGTCTTTTTCCTTTGCAAGAGATAAAAACGAGGTTTAAATGTGCTTTAACAGAGTTTGCAAGACAATGTAGTGAAGGGGTGAAGAGCGTGGGCTCTGGAGTCAGACGGCCTGGGTACAAGCCCAGGCTCAGCCGTTTTGCTGTACAATCTTCAGCACGTTAACATAACCTCTCTGTGCCTCAGCTTCTTGATCTGCGAAATGGGAACAGTGTTGCTAACCGTACCTTCTTCATGAGTTTGTCATGAGTATTAAATTAGTTAATACTAATACTAATATAAAGCTCTTAGAACATTGTCTAATACATAGTAAGTACTCAAAGAATGTTACCTTACGATTATTATTATTTTATTCACTCACACAATGAGAAGGCAGGAGGGAAAACTCACAGAGCGGAATGCAGAGCTGGAACTGGGTGTTCAACTTTTCCAGATTCAATCTCTTTCCACACATCCAACCCACATTTCTACATCATATCTGCAGAGAACATGGCTGGCAACCCAAGCAATGAGAAAGAGCATCTTTCTCCCAATGTCCTTCTATCAAACACAGGGAAGATTCTGATTGGGCCTGCTCGGGTCACATGCCTAGTCTTGGACCAATCACTGTTGCGGGGCTAATAGAGTTGGTTCTAGGACCGGCCAAGCTTGAGTCCCTGGGCCATCTTTGGAGCCGGGAGGGGTTCTGTGATCAACAGCCAAACATGAGCCACATAAAACGGAGGTAGTGAGAACCTCAAGGCAAGGATGACTGAGAGACAAATTGACAAATGCTCATTGTGATTTAAGAATATTTCTATTTCAGTTAATATTAGCTAACTTTTTTGGAGCACCTCTTCTGGTGTCAGGCACTGTCCTGAGTGCTGAGCCTGTGTTATCTCATTTCTCCTCACAGCCACCTCAGGAGGTGGAGGTAGTTACTCTCATCCCCATTTGCTTAGAGAGGCATCAGTTAACTGGCCCAAATCCTCATAGCAAGGAAGTGGGAAAACCAGGATTTTATTCCAGACGAAAAAATCCATGCTTTTAAGCATTCCGTGCTCCCTTACACGTTTGCTCCAGGCTGTGGAGTTACAAAGATTGTTAAGACGTGGTCCCCTCCCCCGGCGAGCTCACAAACCAGGAAAGGAAACTGAAACTCTTTGCTGAAGTGCAGCCCAGGGTCAGCCCGTGGCAGTAGCTGGAGAGTCTCCTGGGCTTTCTGAACGAGGGAGAGCCTAGGTCCCTGAAGTATCATGGGAGAGGTTTCAGAAAGGACCGCAAGGGCATCAAGACGAGGCAGTCCCCTCAGGAGGATTCCAGGAAGGCTTCTCAGAAGAGGTGACATTTGGGCTGGGGCTTCATGAATATGTAGGCTTTCTCCGTGAAGAAAAGATGGGAAAGGACATCCTAGGCTGCGAGGCAGCTAAGTATTGTGGGAAGTGTGTATGTTTTGGACCCCAACTGGGCTGATTCAGACCCCAGCTTCACTACTTTTTGGCAGCGTGACGGTGGGCACTTGGTTGATATCTCTGAGCCTGTTTTCCATCTGCAAAGCAAGGATGGTTCCTATCTCAATGGCCTGGGTGAGGGCTGAATGGGAGAATGTTCATAAAATGGCTACTCATGGTGTGGCTCACAGAAGATGCTCAACAAATATTTGTCCTTTTCTCTTCCCCCTTGCCTTGAGGTTGGGGGCACAAGATGAGCAAAATCTCAGGGGCGTCAAGTGACGCCCTGTCTGGAGATTGTGCTCTGGGCTGGTGTAGGGGGAGCAGGATGAGGGCCAGGAGAGTTACTGAAGCCTTTGAGGATGAAAGTGTTTTCAGAGGTTTTTATATGATTAGTTATCCTCTCCAAAAGACAGTGTCTGCGGGGCCCAAGGGGTCTTTCGAAGACAGCCTGTCTTTTTTTCCCCTCTCTCCTTCCTTGTCTCTGTAACTAAGAACACCCAGGCTATATTAAATTGGTCTGGGAAAGACGCTAGTGGAGACACCAGCTGCCTCCTTGCTTGTGCCTAGTGGCAGTCAGGGCAGAACAAGGGACCTTGTAGGAGGCAGCTATGGAGATGTAGGACTGAGGACCAGAAGGAGATGCCCAAAGGTTCAGGGCCAGTAAGGCCCTCACCCTTCTCTCTTATGGGGTTAGGTTAACTTAAGTTTCTTACGTCCTTCCATAATTATTCCAAATGGAGAACTTCACCTTCCTTAATAAAATACTTTTTTGTGTAGTAGGAGTGGGTAAGAAAAATTAAAGATGATTTTTCAGGTTACCTAATTAAAATTTCTAGTCACTCTGGTCAAACCAGTTCTTCCACTTTTGGCCAATCTAGCTGAAATTCCAATGTGACCCAAAAAGTAAGAGATAGCAAGTAAGTATTGCACTTTAACTAAAGTGTTCACAATTAGATCATTAATAGCTCCAAATTAAAAAAAAAAGGATTATTCAATTAATCATCATAACTGATTATCTGACTTTTGCCTAATTCAAGACTATGTCTTGCTAACCTCAATCCTTGGGGTGAGGGGGAAAAGAACCACAAACTGGATCGTTCTGAAAGTGAAGGAAGAGCTTATGGGCTGGCTTAACAGTTACAACTAACACTCTCTGCTTCCTCTTCTAGAAATTCTTATTAAAGGGAGGTCAGAGTAACCATATAGCTTTAAGGAAACCTGATCAATGAAAACACAGAATTACTCTAAGATATCTTAGGAGTTACTGAAGAATTTACAAAGGAATTCTTTTAAATAGTTATATTTTAGTGCATCTGAAATATGAGTTACCTACACAAATTTGTTTTGCCCTATTATCTTTTTAACCAGGAGCAGCCTATCTCATAAACCCGCTATTCTATTAGTTAAGGTAGAAACCAAGCTGCTGTAACATAGAGAACCAAAAACACAGTGGCTCAGACAAGATGGAAGTTGATTTCTGTCTTATCTATCAAAGGTAGGTGGCTGTGCTCTGGGAGTTCCTCTGGGGTCCCAGGGTTCTTCAGCCATCCCAGAGGTGTTGTCCCTGCCCACACAGTCAAAGTGGGCTCAACACCCCCACACTCACATTCCCACCTGTGGGAAGGGAATCAGGAGAGGCAGCCAAGCAGCTTCCACTTAAGAATGGACCCAGAAGTTGCACCCGTCACTTCCACTTCCATCCCACCTGCCAAAACTGACATGGCCACATCTACCTTCAATGGAGGCTGAGAAATATTGTCACTAGCTAGACAGCCATGTGCCCCCCTAAAACCTGGGGGTGGGGGGCCAGTTTCTATTTATAACTAAAGAAGAAGAGAATGGATATTAGGGGACAATTAGCAGTCTCTGCCCCGTGGTCACCCACTTTGTGCATCATGTGGCCTGTCCTGGGAACCTGCCAGTGCCCTTCCTTTGTGAGCTATAGAGATTCTTTTATAGCTTAGAAGTATCCTTCAAATCTGTCAATCAGCAAAAATGTATTGGACTCATAGGCTCTTAGCAGATAATTTCTTGGAATAGATATGCCTCTGGCCTGAGGAACTTAACCCAGGGTTGGAAGCCCCATACATGTGAAAAGAAAATGGTAGGCTTATGACTTGGCACCACATGGATGATAACAGTGAGTGCTGCAGGAGATGGAGGAAGGAGAGAGTGGTCAGGGAAGGCTCCAAAGAGGAGGAGTTAGGTTTCTGGTTTGAAGAATGGATTAGGTTCAAATCACAGGGAGGACCAGAACAGAGAGGTATAAGGCCTGGCAGGAGGAGGAGGAGAAGATGTGGCTGAGTCAGAGTGAGCAGGGCTTTGAGCAGGAGAGTGAGTGATGCGAACAGCTCACATTTGGCACAGGCCCTTCCTCCATGCCTCATTTTAAGAGTCCATATTCATGGTCATAGTCAATGGAAGGAAGACACTGAGCTCTACGAAAAGAGACACTGGCAAACACGTTCAACTAAGAGATCTTCGTAGAATGCTAAAAATATATTTTTGAAAAATACTGATGCATTAGGCTTTTACCCAAAAGTTTCACTTCCAAGAATTTATCCTAAATAAATAGCATCACAAGTACAAAATGTGTATGCATATCACGGCATTATTTGTAATAGCGAAATACTGGAAACAACCCAAATATCCATCTTTGGGAGATCAGTTTAATAAGTAGGGTGCATCCACACAATTGAGTCCCATGGAGTCTGTAGCTTTGTGAGCCCTACACCACATTTCCTCAAGCTCCTGAGCATCTGCAGGGGATGGTTTCTGTGCACACCGAAGGCATCCTATCTCAGGTGTCTGCCTTGTGTTTCTGGTTTGCTGCCTCAGGGCTTTTTCTAAAGGGAGGATCTCACCCAGCCCTTGCTCTGGATGGTCCAGAAGTACAGAGAATTAACTGGGGCAGTTCTCAACCAATAGGACATGGGAATTGGTGGCTTAGTGACCCAGCCTCCCACCCTTTGGAGGAATAACTGTGGGGCACATTCCTCATGGTTCCCCAGAGGGCCACCAGGGATTGAGTCCTGGTTGCTCACTGTGGTAACCAGCTCAATAACATATTCTTTATTGACTTTTCGTCCATCACTGTCTCACCTCCTCACTCCTACTTCATGGAACCACCTTCCAAATAAGCTACCTGCTGACAGGACCTTGGCTCAGGCTCTGCTTTGAGGAGAACCCAAATGAGGCCACATCCTAAAGAACAATGAATCTCATATATAATATGGCATAAATTTCAAGATATATTCTTAAGTGAAAAAATGCAAAGCATGGAACAGTATACAGTATATACTATATTTTGTGTAGTAAAGGTGGGAAATAAAGTACATACAGTAAAGGTATCTGCTTATGTATGCAAAAATGAATTATGGCAGAATAAATCTGTATGAGCCAGTATATTAGTATAAAAATGGTTATCCCCAAGGGAGGTGGAGGTGTGGAAAAGAGTGGAAGCAACAGGGATGAAAGCAAAATTTTTCTAAAAATACCTTTTTATATAGTTTTAACTTTTGAACTCTGTAGATGTTTTACATATTCAATAATTAAATTAAATTTCAAACATAAGCCTGCTAAGTAGTGGGCAGAGGAAAGTGGCACGATTGTCAATGCTGAGGCGTTATTAGTTCAGATGTCAGGATGCTGTCTGACTGAGTTTCAAGGCTGGCATTGTGCTGAGACACCTTGAGTTAAGTCACCAGCATAACCCGTGGCAATGAGCAGAGTTTGTTCTTAACCAATAAACCTTGAGCTTGTACCCTATGTCAGACACTAATAGGCTTTTGCCTCCACCATCTACTTTATCCTCACGACAGCCCCGCAGTGTACTGTTATGCCGTTGTGCCAAGATTACAAGATTCACTGAGAAACTAGAATTTGAACTCAGATTTCTTTAATTCCAATGTAAATAATAATAACGTTACCAAGGATCTGCTAGGTACCCAGCACTGTCCTAGGTACTTAGTCTTTATTTTACACAGTGAAAACAGCCTTATACACTGAAATAGGACCTTCATCATGCAACACAGTAGAGGCCAAACTTGAGGTCTGCCTCCCTGTCCCCTGCCTTGGTAGATGTTCAAGATCAGAGCTTAATCATTTTAGATGTATCCAAATTGATGTGCAGATAACCCCTGGGAAGAGTCACACAGGAAGCTGTCAATCACAATCATAATACATCTTTGTAGCTTGGTGTAAATAATAGATTTCTCTGACCTTAGGCAACAAGCCTGACTTCTCAGGGTCTGAGTTTACTAATCTCTGAAGTGAAAGATTGGATTAGAGCAGGATTTCTCAACCTCGGCATTATTGACATTTTGGGCTGGGTGGTTCTTTGTTGTGGGGGCTCTCCTATCTTCTGTAGGATATTTAGCAGCATCTTTGGCTTCTACCCACTAGATGCCAGTAGCCACTCCCCCTACACAGCTGTGACAACCAAAACTGTCTCCAGACATTGCCAAATGTCCCCTGGGGAGGGGAGGAGCAAGATGGTGTCCAGTTAAGAAGCACTAGACTAGATGATCCTTGAGGTCGCTGCCATCCCTGACAGTCCGTGACTCTGGCATCTGAGGACAGGACATTGCTAGGAGGAAAGGGTAAAGAATGTGGCAGGGCAGTGAGCTGTGGGAACTCCCTCCATCCTCGTGAAGCAGGGCTGGTACAGGACAGTGAGTGTGCTGGGAATGGCCTCTCTTGAAAGGAAGTCTCCTTCCACTGATAACTCTCATCCTCATTGCAGCTTCTGGAGCTAAGAAGGCGGCTCTTGAGGATGCCAAGCCAGGACCTGAAGCAGTGAGGACAGTGGAATGCAGCAAAGGCCCTTCCCTGGAGCCAGGTGCCCAACTGGAGGAGAAGAAAATCTCGGAAGTCGCCCTGGGCTCTCAACATTCAAGTGAATTAGAGAAGAGGCTGGATCGAGGGAAGGCAGTGGAGGAGAGTCAAGAGGCTGGCCAGGTGGAGTCCAGTGCTCTGCAGGAGAGCCCCAGGGCCAGAGCCGAAGCAGTGTTTCTCCATGAGATGGTAAGGGGGACTCCCTGCCTGGTCCATCTAGTAGAGTCCTCTTTTTCTCAAGAGCTCGTGGTACAGCTTAAAGTAGATTTATTTACTTATTTTGGGAGGAAGAACTTGTTTCTACCAAAGGGACTTGAGGAGATAACCTCCTAATCAGGTCTGGGATTTTCTGCAGTGGACTTTTCAGAGGTCCTATGGTGATGGGAAGGAACCATCCCGTTCAGATTCACTAGGTCAGACTCAACCCTATTTCTGACCACAAGTCACCATAAACCAGTAACATGTCTTTGGAATGTAATGACATTCAATCCTGGAAGCAACACAAAACCTACTTGTCATATCCTGGTCCCAAATATGATGACCATTCTTGGGTACAGCTCTCTTCTTCCAGACATCCTAGATGGGTAGTTGTCTATGCTTGTCTGTAAAAATATTGTGAAAGATTTCTGGGACCCATTTCTTCCTCCGATGGCTTCTGGAGAAGTTAAAACATGATGTGAGAGCTTACTAAACGTCTTTCACTTTTTAGAGGTGAATTTTCCAAGGTTTTATGGGATGTCCTAGCATAAGATGAAGGTGTAAGGAGGTTTTCCAGGAACATCCAGGGAGGAGTCCTGCATTTGGGAGGCAGCTCTGTGACCTGGAGGAGTGTGCTAAAGGGGAAAAGGAAACTCTTTGCCTTTAACTTGCTTCCAGGAGCTTGGTTTCTGGGGGATGCACAAAAGGCCCATATACTAAGAGTTAGGGCAGTGCATGGCACCACAGTGGCCTCAGGAGGGCTTAATAAGGATTCTTGTAAGACATGTTTGCATTTGTAGAAGGAGAAGGATACAGAGATTATTATGGGTATTGAATTCTGGTAGGGATCAAGTCTAAACTGCTTTGAGAAGCAGACACAGTTAGTGCTGGAAGGAGCACCAGGTGGATTCATGGGAACAAGTAAAGGCATCAATTCATTCATTCATTTAAAAACATGTATTAAACACCTACTTTGTGGGAGGCCCTCTGCTGAGCACTGGGATGGCTGCAGAGTGCCAGATGCTCACTGTCCCTGCCTTCTTGGAGCTGACAGCTTGGTGGGTGAAAGATCACTAAGTAAGTGATTTCTAGAGTGATAAGGAAGTATGGAGTTCTGTGGGAGCATATAACAGGGAGGAGGGGAGTCACAATGGTGAGAGAAGGCTTCTCTGAAGAACAGACAGACTGAGAGCTTAGCTAGAAGAAAGGGGGAGGGGGAAGAATAGGAAAGGAGATACTTCCAGGCAGAAAAAGTAAGCATACCATGAATTTGAGGTGGGAAAAAGCACAAAACATTCAAGGAAGGAGAAGAGAGCTGGCGAACGGGCACGTGGACTAGAGAAAGTGAGGCCCAGAGGGAAGCAGGAGCCACGTCAGACAGGCCTGCTTGGAAGGGAGTTGGAGACTAACCTAAGGGCAATGGAAACTCTTTTGATCTGTTCAGAATTTTATCTTTTAAATGTCACTCTATTCTGTGAGGAGAAGGGCAGGAGAAGGGGTGAGGATATCAATTAGGAGGCTAGCATGTGGCAGACCAGGGGAGAAAAGATGGTGGTTTAGACTGGGGGCAGGAGGCAGGGGAGGTGGAAATGGAAGGATCTAAGAGCTATTTAGAAGGTGGAGTGAACAGGACCCAGTAAAAGATTGAATAGCCAGTGAGGAAGAAGGAAGTGTCAAGGACACCCCATAGGTTTCTGATCTGAGCGAAAGATGCACTATGGTCCCCTTACTGAGATGGCAGAGAGTGGGGTGCAGGGGAGTGTAGATGTTCATTTATTCATTGAAATTTATTGATTTCTTAGGCAAAGATCAATAATGTAGGTGCTGAGGAGAGTAAAGAGATGAGTAAAAGGCTGCCCTTGGCCTGAAGGAGGGCAGAGTCTAGTAGACAAAATAGACACGTACACAAATCAGTGCAATACAATGGAATCAGATCTCAAAAATATCGCTGCCTTCTGACCAAGGAATCTTACACCTGGAGAGTTATCTGAAGGAAATAACTCAAAAGAAAACACTGAATTCATTTCAGTTCAACGGACCCTTCATTGAGCAACCGCTCACAGTACGCCAGGTACCATTTGGCCTCGAGGAATCAAAGATGAGGGAACACAGTCCCTGACCTCGGGGAGCTCACAGTCCATTGGGAAAGATAAGACAAGCGTCAAATTAACTAATATGAACGACATATGATCAGAGCCAGGTGAGAAGTGATGTCAGGTTGGCAGCAGGTCAGACTTCTCAGAAAGTCTTTCACCCTCACTGGCCGGAGAGGCCTCCCCAAACTGCTTCTCCTTGGGACAAAAAATGATAGGCACTGAAATCTGTTTCCCTGGCCCCAATCAGAACTCCCTTTGTCCCTTTCCTGACTGAAGCTTTGGGCTTTGTGTCCGGAAAGGGAAGAGTCGAGAACAACAAAGAGAAGCTGGACTTTCGGGAAAACAAGGACAGCAAACAAGGTGCAGGAAGAGGCACCCCATCTCATTCATGGTGGTTATCTGTAGGTGGTAGAAATATAAGATTTTGTTGTTTTTGTATTCTACTTTCTTTTAATGCATGTTAATTTTCTTTCCATGTGAAATATGTATTTCCTTGGGGGAAAAAAATCTCTATTTATTTGGAAAGTAGGTTTCAGGGCAAGTTAACATTTTCATTCCACTGGGAGAATCTGAGTCTTGTGTGCCAACTGGTAAAGCTGAGGTTAAATGAGACCAGGGGTCGGTTTGTTTTATAAGGCAACAGTGCAGAGGGATTAAGAGTTCATGTTCTGGTGTAGACAGAGCTGGATTTCAATCCCGGTCTGCTGCTGTGTGACTTAGGTAAATTGTTTAATCTATGTGAACATAAGTCTCCTGCTCTCTAAAATGGGAGTAATTATGGCGGTAGTTATCTTTTAGGGAAAATTAAACACGAAAGTACAGTAAAAGCATGTAACGGGACATGGTAAGCCCTGAATAAACATCCACGGTTATTATTCATGCTGTGTCCTTTATTTGCTGAGGTGGCGCAGCCTGGCAATGCGCCAGTCTCTTCAGTCTCACTGGGAAAGAGTGCGGATGTCAGCACCGACAGCCTTTGGTTCTAAAATAACCAGTTTCTTGATGTTTTTCAGGATGAAGATGATCTGGCCAACGCCCTGATCTGGCCGGAGATTCAACAGGAACTGAAAATTATTGAATCTGAGGAGGAACTCTCCTCGTTGCCACCGCCTGCCCTAAAGATCAGCCCCACTCAGCCAATTCTGGAGTTCAGTCCGGCGCCCTGTGCTTCCTTGGAGCCTCCTGGGAGCTCGTCTTGTGGCTCGGCCCCAGCTCCAGTCTCCGCCCCCCTGGAGGAGTGGACTAGGGATCCAACCAATCAGAGCACACCGGGGGCCTCCACAGCAGCCAATAGAGAAAAATCCGAAGCAAGCCGCAGCCTGCCTGGATCTGAGCCCGAGAAGGGCCAGCGGCCAGACCCCAGCAGCCTAGCTCCTCTGGAAATAGTGCCGTTTGAGGCGGCTTCTCCACAAGCGAGGGTGGAGGTGGGAGGTCCAGGGAATCCGTCTCCTGTGCTCCCGCCTGCTCCTCCCCCCCCAACCCCAATGGAGGAGGCGCCTCGAGTCCAGCTGTTGGAGGGCGGCCCTGAGAGAGAAGACTCATCCAGGAATTTGAAGACAAATGCAGATACAGACCAGCTGAAGTCCAAAGGCAGCCCCGGGATCCCCAGTCTCTGTCAGGAAGACGAGGCTGCTCCAGGACAAAGGGAAAAGCAAAATTCAAAGGATGCTGCTCCTGAGGGGAAAGGCTCTGGTTTTCCAAGCCCCACAAGGGAGGTTGAGATCTCCCCACAAGGAGAGGTGGATGTAGCCCATTCAGTACAGGAGCCCTCGGACTGTGACGAAGACGACACTGTGACAGACAATGCGCAGCATGGCCTGGAGATGGTGGAACCCTGGGAGGAGCCCCAGTGGGTGACGAGTCCTCTTCATTCCCCTACCCTGAAAGATGTGCAAGAGGCCCAGATGCAGGGCTCCCAGGGCCTGCGACTGGAGAAGAGGCTTTCCCACAGGCCCAGCCTTCGCCAGAGCCATTCTCTAGATAGCAAAACCACAGTTAAGAGCCAGTGGACTCTCGAGGGTCCCTCCTCCAGCAGCTGTGCTAACCTTGAAGCAGAGGGGAATTCTGACCCTCTGCAGCACCTGTCACCCAGGAGAGAGATTACTGGATGGGATGAGAAAGCCCTGAGTTCCTTCAGAGAGTTGTCTTGCCCGAAAGGGACAGAGGCTCTTCCCAACCAGAAGGGACCAGGTGGTTTGCAGCCCAAACCAGCAGAAACCAGCCCTGTCAGCCTAGCAGAGGGAAAGGAACAGGGGACACCCCTGGAGCACTGCAACCCTCAGATTGAGCAAGGCAGTGTTTCTGGGCCGCAGAGCAGCCAGGAGAATTCACCTAGCGTGCAGGACAGCACCTCACCTGGAGAGCATCCCCCGAAGCTACCGCTAAAGCCCACTGAGTGCGGGCCCCCAAAAGGGAAAAATAGGCCTTCTTCCCTCAACTTGGACTCTGCCATTCCCATCACTGACCTCTTCCGGTTTGAGAATGTGGCCTCATCTGGTTCACCTGGAATGCAGCTCTCTGAGCCAGGAGACCCGAAGTTCACGTGGATGACCTCATCTCACTGTAAAGTAGACCCCTGGAGGGTTTGCTCCCAGGACCCTCAGGACCCGGACATTGTTGCTCACGCCCTGACAGGCCGCCGAAACTCAGCTCCCGTGAGTGTGTCAGCTGTGAGAACCTCCTTCATGGTCAAAATGTGCCAGGCCAGGGCAGTCCCAGTCATCCCACCCAAGATTCAGTACACACAGATCCCACAGCCCCTGCCCTCTCAGAGCTCAGGGGAGAATGGGACTCAGCCTCTGGAAAGGAGCCAAGAGGAACCCAACTCAACTGGTGGGACCTCTCAGAAAACTGCCAAAGGTGATTCTCTCTCCTTGGAAAGCCCAAAGGAAGAGAAACCAAAGCAAGATACAGGAGCCATTGAGTCCTTGGCAGTGGATGCCACTGCATCTCGCATGTGTGAGGGACCCACCCTTTCTCCAGAACCAGGTTTAGCTAACCTGCTCTCCACCCAGGATGCAGTAGTGCAATGCAGAAAGCGCACATCAGAGACAGAGCCATCGGGGGACAACCTGCTTTCTTCAAAAATAGAGCGACCATCAGGGGGTTCTAAGCCTTTCCACAGGTCAAGGCCAGGAAGACCTCAGAGCCTAATCTTATTCAGTCCTCCTTTCCCCATTATGGACCACCCGCCCCCATCATCCGCAGTGACAGATTCCAAGGTCCTGCTGTCCCCTATTAGAAGTCCCACCCAGACAGTTTCTCCTGGCCTTCTTTGTGGGGAGTTGGCAGAAAACACGTGGATCACACCAGAAGGGGTTACACTTAGGAATAAAATGACCATCCCTAAGAATGGCCAGAGACTAGAGACCTCAACCAGCTGTTTTTACCAGCCCCAGCGGAGATCAGTGATTCTGGATGGAAGAAGTGGGAGGCAAATAGAATGACATCAGTTCACCTGCTGGTGTCTGAGAAAATGTCGTGATTCATCTGGAAGTTACTATTGGGACAACTTGCCATTGTTCCAGGCACAGGTTATCCAAGTTTGGGCTTAGTTTGGCCTCTTCTTTTTCTTCGGCCTTCTGACCATTTATTAATTAGTCCATTTGCCAGAAGAGAGGTCAAGAGAAGGACCAAGAGATGAAGTTTAAATAAGTCTCTATGAGCAGGCAGGGAAAGGTCAGGTGAGGGAAGAGGATGAAATGCTGGCCTCCAATGAGGTTTGGGACCTGTGAGTTGCGTTACTCCCCACTGCCATTATCTGTGACCATTGAGAGCTGGGTGTGATTATGCCTTTTGAAAGAAAGAGAAATCCTTTGCCCGTGTTGGAAAACGTTGCTATTGAGGTTTGAAGGCCTCCTATTTACTTCATGCTTTTTAATGCTCTTTAAAGCATGTGTTCTTTTAGACAAGTTTTCTGATAAGCTTTGTAAAAGTGTACTATCCAGAATAGAAGCAGATTTGGAAATGCAAACTAACGTACACTTAGATATCCAAGTGGGTGAATTCACCCACTCTCTTTCCCTGCAATCCCTGCAGATCTGTCCAAGGTGGCTCCATACGCCAGCACAGAAAGTCAGAATCTATACTAAAGAGCAAACTTGGAGACTGGCATGGTCCAAGAAGACTTTCTGGCTCTGGCTTCTATTAATTTGGGACTCCAACTGCCACTATCCTGCCCTCTGATTTATAAATCCAGTAGCTGGGGAGGGTGGGAGCTGAGCTGAGGGTTACCTCAATGAAATGTGCTGAATCTTCATTTAGGTATGCAAGAGTGAGGGGATCTGCTTTCTTCCCGATATCAGAGTCCAAAAACAGGATGTCTTCTTAGAGAAAAGCCTCACATATAGGCAGAACTACACTCCAAACTTAATGTGTTTAAATTGGTGGAGCATTAGCAGAAAACACCTGTAGCTCAGCTTCACACTCCGTCCATACTAGGCTGGGACCAGCAGTGCAGGAGAGGGTAAGCCGGGAGCCCCAGGAGGACAAGGCCGAGTCCTAGCAGGGTAGCCATCATTACTGCTTGGTGACAGCTGCCCTTCTTGAAAATGTATTTCATTTTAGCCAGTGGGAGCCTTCCTTTCTCCCTCTCCTTCCATTGCTCAAGAGCAGATTCAAGGGACCCCTCTGCTTTCCATGGTCCCCCTCATCCACTACCCACCCCAGGCACTGAAACTTGCTCTTCCCCTGTCTATACGCAAGCAGAAGCAATAAACGAATCTGATTCTATTTGTTATTTAGAAGTTCAAATGGGCCATTCCTTTTCAGCTGGAGAGAGGAAGGAGAACGAATCTAACCTGCTGGCAGATTTTTGGTGCTATCCCAAAGAGGGCTTCACAAGAGCCCTTCTCAAGGCAAAACCCTTCAGGGTATCAAGACTTTCAGACCTTCTAAGACAACTATCTTGTTTCAGATACAAAGAAAAATAGGATCTTTTTTTAGCCCTAGGCACCTCTTCTCAGGTTCAAGTCTGGCTGAATTCTGTCCAGAAGCTCAGTCATTGCAGAAATTTCTCTAAGGGCTAGCAGTACCTCTGGACAGACCTCACAGCCAAGGCTGGTGCTGGGCTGGGTAGGGGCTGAACTGAAGTTACCTCCTCCAGTGAGAAATGGGACGCTGATGCCCTGCAACAGATACATAGTCCTCTCTCTCTTCTTCCCTGATAAGCCTTACAAGCAATTTTGAAATCTTGTCCTACACCTTTGAAGCCAGTGTCTATGGCAGAGATAACTGGCAGGCCAGCTGATGAGTTCTGCTTTCAGAGGGCACTGCGATGTGTGAGCAAGGGGAGCAGTGAATAGGCCTTTGGTCAGTGTTTTTGCATTCTCACTGGGAATAAGACATTGTACCAAGAGCCAATGAGATGTCAACCTGTAAGAAAAGTCCTAAGGTATGGCAATTTTCCCTTCTAGGCAAGCAAGGTGAAGAAATATATTGGTGACGGATGAGGAAGGCCATGTTCAGGAGATTTGAAAAGTACATTCCTGCCTTATCAGAAAATGTGGCAGACAGGCTTTGTGTCAATCTCAGTGCACTGTGGTGTCTACGCTCTGATAAGGACCACGTTCCAGTTAGAATGTGAGAGGGCGAAGGAACTGCACTTTGCTTTACCATCAGAACTCTGAGCCAAGTAATGAAATATTTAAACTATTTTATGATTATTTTAGATTTTTGTTTGTAACACTTAGAGGATATATTTTTATTTGGGGATAGCCTGAGAAGCCACCATTTACATATTAACAAGTGAGTTCAATTTGAGGCGCCTATGTAGATTTATTAAATGGCTGCCATGTTCCTTAGACTCCGGCATCTTTCATTTGTAGCATCCTCTTCAGGCGTGTGGGTGTGTGGATATCATTATGAGACACAATGATAACTGTCTGGAAATATTCTCTACTCTGAGCTTTCCTCGTCAGTCAATCCAGAAGGCCTTAGAAGCTGGCTCACCTGCTCAGTAAGTGTCTGGCTGCTAAAGTGTGGATCTCTCCTTTGACTATTTCCCAGCCTATCAACTGTCACAAACATTCATAAACTTCCTGTGGACCGGGGCTAGCCTGGCACTGATGAAATTCCATTCTATGTTAAAGAAAACTATTTTTCCCCTGAAATTGTTCCCCAAAATGACCTGAGATTACCGATTTGGTCACCCACTTGGGCCTGAAAAATGAATGCCCTGAGAATGGCTGGATGGGAATCAGATCGCCTGCTTCCATCCAGAGGGACGGAATGGGTGCTGCTGGTTTTTGGAGGATCTACTTGGTGCCCTAGAAAGGGCTGCAAAATCAAATTCTCAAAGGGCACCTTCAAATCAACTATTAGTCCCCTAAATGGGGGTGGCTGACTTACAATGTTGACTTTGAAGTGAAATGCATGCATGTTCTAATGTTTTCCTTCAGTGCTAATGACTGCTTAAGAAGATAATGACCTATACATATTGGCAAAATGGCCCTCCCAGGCCAACTTTTTTTTCCTTCTTTTTTGCAAAATGGACCAGATAGAGGGAATTTGGTTTTTATTCTCTGCTTCACATAGACTATGAAGAGACCTGACCAAGAACCCCATTAGGATGGTTACCCTAATCTAAGCTCTAAAATTCAAAATGTTGGCCAAGTCAAAATTGTGGATTCTGGGGAACTTAAAAATATAAACATCAACATCCTCAACAAGTAATATTTATCAAGAGCTTAGTAATATTGCACTGGGTACCTTAGAACTCTTAAACCCTTGAAGAGTCTAATGAAAAAGAGGAAATAGATGGTAGCAAGTCAAACAGCAAATCAAACAACTGTTATAAACAGTTGTTTACAACAACCAGGAGCAGGATTTAGAACCATTTAGTTACAATTTGGAGAGAATTTGACTTGACTTGCAAACACAATTGCAAGTCCAGCAGAAGGTACTAGGGAGACACTCAGGCATTGAGAATTTTGCTTTGATCATTTAAAAAATTAGAGAATGGTAACTAAAAACAAATGTTTCTGAGGTTTTCTGTGGTCTTAATTGGTTTGGTTGTGAAGTCCTGTTGGATCTCTGCTAATGAGCTGGGCAATATCAGCGTTCCATACTCCTTGAGAGGGGGTTTGAGACTTCCATCATCACAAAATGGGTTGACTCCTATTGATGATAAAGTCATAGGTCCAAGATAAACTGTTATTTTTATGTCTAATGTTTAGCATATAATAATCACATTTGAGTAAAATTGGGTGGGAGATTCATTTGTCTACTGGGGCCTTGTGTTCTTGCCTGAAGAGGTGCTGGAGAATGTAAGATTCATTTGTCTGGGATTGGAATGGAGAGGTTAAGGGCAGGTCCAATTCTCACCAGGATGGGGATTAGGGCCACATTCCACCATGGCCTGTCCTATCTGATGACAACATGAATCTGGGAGTTAAATGTTGCCAGGAGTATGATTTTACACACTTCCAGCAGGAGGGTCAGCTCAAAACATGGAATGACAAAGAATGCATGGCCTCCTTGGTCAACACCTTTTCTAGTAAAGTCAGGCCAGAAGAGGGAGCAAGCACCCTTCCAAGCATGGAGAGGAATGGGAGATGGTAGAAGGGTGATTGCCTGAGTTCAGTGTCAGTCCAGATAGTATAAAATCGGGGACCACCACTGATTGACCAGCACACAGTAGATGATTTAGTAGCCTTGAGGTTCATGAGCAATGCAGGGATCACTTCTCTATGAGGATGAAGGAGGACGTAGCTAAATATAAGAAACCCACGAAGTACAGAGCCATGTGCTTTACCGGATGAATCACGAAGCTTTGCAATAACTTAATGCTATAGTACTTCCTGGCTAATAATTCTGCAAGGTAAAGCACTTTTTCAAAGGAGTCTGTTAGAAAGCCACATGATTTCAGCTGTTTGTTGAGCTCGAGTATGTTTCCAAAGATATAATCAAAATCTTTTTCTATTGATTAAAAAAATATAAATATTAAACTTATCCATAGAGACATTTAAGTGTAATTAAAACAGATTGTTATGCTTTAAAAATGTACTCTAATAAATGACATAAAATATAATGCTTATGATGGCACTATGAACTAGAGGAGGACATGGGGTCATCAAAATCAATAATAGGAAAAGTGGATTATATGCATCAGGCTCATTGTTCTGGTCTGTTCTGTTTGATGTCATTTTTTATTACTTCAAGGTTTGGTCTCACAGCAAAAGTCCTGATGATTTCTTTCAGTAAATTTTTCTGGTTTTTGTTATTTTACATCGTAATAATTGTCAAATATTTGCAACTTCACTCTTACTGTTGCAATCATACATGTCACCCAAGATACCCAGTATAAATCAATGGATATTGTAATGAAAAATGAGAAGGAAAAAAAGCTATTCCTTCTCAAAACTCTGCATCTTAACAAGTTATGTGGGCCCACTTACAACAGATGTGAACTCAGTTTTTCTATTACTTGAAGCAATCAAAGGGGACTATTCTCTCATTTGAGTGATTATGCTAATAACGCTCTGGTGGAAAAGAAAAGCGAAAGTTTGCTCTCCTGGCATATGTTGTCACAAAAATGGGGACAGGTGTTCAGTGGGTCAAAATGACAGACCCTTAGAAAAACAATCATGCGACCCAGGCTCACAACCTGATGATAGTTGCAGTGAAAAATATCATTGCCAAGGGGATACAAATGCTAGCATTTTGGCAACCATATTCCACTTAGAACTTTACACTACTCAGGCCTGCTCTGTCACCCTTCACTACCGCCCTAAATGTCTTTTTCTCCTATATACTCCCAGATCCCCTCTCTCCTCTGTCTCTCTCTCCTGAATCTCATGCCCACTGCCCCCAACTGGCAACACACAGTTCCCCTCACTCCTAATCTTTCCCACAGCTCCTCTGGAGTCCTTCTCTCCTTACAGTCTCTTCACTGAATGCTGTTTCCACTTCCTGGACGTCAATAAAACTTGACACTCCCTTGAGGACACTTCTTTCCCTGCACAAAAGGTTGCACGTTTTTTTCCATGTTACAGACTACAAAGAGCCAAGAAGATGTTCTCCAGTTTCCCACTTCCGCTTCTGCACCATTGTGTCTTCCCATCTCATACAAAAATCTCTTATTACCAAAATATATGGCATCCAGCTATTTTAACTTTTACCATTCTTTGTGGCCACGATGTAGTCAATGTCCCAGACTTCCCAGTTTTGGCACCAAGCTGTTTCCTCTCTAACTCATGTCCCACCATCATTCTGGATGACTTCAGTGTTTCTGAGGAACACCCATCCGACACCCTTGCCACAATTGCTTACAGCTTTTACCTTTACTCAATTTTGGCCATTTGCTTCCAGGGTTACACATCAGGCTGTTCCACAACCCAGAACTCTGTGATCCTAAACTCCCATATTCCATTCTCAGAACTTCTCCTTTCCTTACTCCCTTATTCCTTCTACTTGCTCAGATTACTAATGCCTGGCCCACCCATACTCCTTCTGACAGAGGATACCCCCACCAGACTTCATTCTTCCTTCCCTGGTCTTTCCAGACCCCAAGATGCATCATCTCAACTGTTCTCACCAGCACCATTACCTCTCTTGTTCACTAGTCCTTTAGCCATATCTGCTGGGCAAATCTCCAAACCAGGACTCTTTCCATCCATCTACTCTACCCTTCTACTGCGTCTACTGAGTTAGACCAGAGAAAATCATAAAGCCATGGTAGTGAGAGTCTTGGAAATTTATGGTTTACCACCTCAGCAGTGGCCTCATTCCCAAAGTTTACAAAGGCCATTCCATTATTCTAAGACTCCTCCTAGATGCCTCCTCACACCCTAAAATGATAATTGCTTCTTACTTGACCACGAGTTTATGCTATCAGATGTGTTTCTTCCACTTCCTGCTGCTACTTTCCTTTATCCATCTGTGTGTATCTAACCTCCCTTCTAACTCAGAGGAAATGCTAGTCTTCTTCCCAAAGGCTCCCAAGAACCCTTCTTCTTTCCAGTTCACTACTTCTTCATTCCAATTCACTACTCTGGACCAACTGCAACTGACCTCCGCCCCCCTTGCTCCATTAAAATTTCTTACTAAAGTTACAATGATCTAATAACCAAATTCAACAGTCAATTCTCAGTCTCTTGAATATTTGATACTGTTGATCATTCCTTTCTTGAAACTCTAGTTCACCTCATCTCTTGGAATTCTATTTTCTTAGTCTTGTTCATTTGAAAACTTCCTCTTCCTCTACGCTTAAATGTTGTTATTCACCAGAATTCTGTCCTTCTTTCTCTTTTCACTCCACGTGTCCCTACATTATCTTATTCATGCACATGACTTTTTCTATCACCCACACAGTGGTGACACCCCACCCCTCCTCCCATTTTCTATTTGCATGTACTTTTTAAAATGGTTGGCTGTCTTGCTTTAAATCTCCTTGACATTCTCCAAACCTCTTCTACACATTGCTACCAAAGTTGTCTAAGCTAGGGTAGTGGGTCTCCTCAAAATCACCTGGAGAGTGTGTTAAAACAGACTTCTGGGCTCCATCCAGAGTTTCTGACTCAGTCAGTTTGGGGTAGGGCTTGAAATTTTCCATTTCTAACAAGTTCCCAGTTAGGTGATGCTGATGCTGCTGGTCCAGAGATTACACTTTGAGAACCCTTGACTTGCGAGCCCTTTGGGTCATAAGTCCTCAGCTTAAAATCCTTTATTAGCTGTCTTCTGTCTACAAGTTTCCAGACTTCTGTCTGCTTAAGAATTACTTGAAGTGCTTGTGAAAGGTCCACACTATTGGGTTTCAACCTCAAGATTGATTTAGTAGTTCTGATTGTCCAAAGATCGCCCCTTTGAGACCTACAGGATAATAAAAATCCAAACCCCTTAGTGTGGATTTCAAGTCCCTCTGGGATCCATTCCTTGCACAGCTCTCCAGCATTACTGAACTAGTTATTTAAAAGCCTAGTGCAAATCCTTGCCTCGAGTTTTTGTATATCCTGTTCCCACTCCATGAACCCTCCCCCCATCTATGTGGTAAACTCCTAGTCCTCCTTTAAAATGCATCATGTGTGTTCTGCTGCCGTGAAGCCTTCCCTGACACTGTAGCTTCTAAGCAAAGTTGATCACTCTCTTTTCTGCATCACCTCCGCATCTTGTATATACTTCCTTTACTCAACACCTTTGTGTCACAATTATTGATTTACTTCTCTGCCTTCTATTAATGAACTCTGAACATCACTCTTTTTGGCCCCCAGCAGTGTCTGGCACATAATAATTGCTCAATAAATTGAAATGGGGGGAGGAGCCGTGGTAGAGGTGATTGATTGAGAAGGAGGGGAGGGAAAGCAGCTTAGGGAACATAACATGGAATCAGAGTAAATAGGATACTGAGGAATATTTCCATCATGCTCATGCCCATGAACTACCCTCCTCTACTCGGACACTTTTACCCACTTTAAGCCACCCAGACAACTGGTCAAGCATCTTCTTTCCTTTTCCAGTATCCCAAGTTCACTTGACTGATCTTTTGCTATACCATTTTTTCCACAATTTAATTTCCTAACATATACACCATTTAATTTCCTAACATATAAAAATTACCCAAAAAGGCCATTTTTTAATGTGTATACATCTCCTACTATCACTAAACAAAGATGGCGTCCTTTCTTTTACATGATCTGTAAGTAATAGAATATACAAGTAACTAGTAATTTTTCTCTCCCCCATCTGAACGTGGACCTTCCACAAAGGACAGCTGAAAAAGGTAGGAACATGTTGAACTGAAGGGTTTTATCTCCCTGATGGTGTCCTATCTGGAAGGAGAGGGGGCACCTGGCAGTTCCATTAGCCAAAATTAATTTTTATTTATTTCTTATATTCACTCATTTGTTTAGCCAGCTTGGCATCTGGTCCTCCTGTGCTACTCCTTTAAGATTTGGCCAAGACAGGTCAAACCAGAAGGGGGAATCAAGCCAACTTACAAGACTAGTCTATAATCCCTAATCAGTTATCTGGGCTACTTTTCAATGACAGAACCAACTTGGGGCCATTTTGATGAGACACCTTTGTGCCCAGGCCACCCATTGTGCTCTCAGCTATCAAGTAATCTCATCAAAATGGTTATTAGTCAAAAGAAGCATATCTTCAAGATCCTAAGGAAAGAATATTGAGATGGCAGCTTTCCCACTCTCCCTGTCTCCAAGAACCACCATATTTGGACCGAATGACTTTACAAAAAACAAGCAATAAACTGGTTCTCTCGCGATTTTCCAAATACCAAAATTGTTCCCACCTCAGTGGACTGTCCTTGCTGTTACTGTAACAGGAATTCTCCCCAAAGCTATTTATATGGGTCAGTCTTGCTTCATCTGGTCTTTGCTCAAAAATCATCTCCTCAAAGATGCCTTCTAGCAATGCCATTCCTAGCACTTTCTATTTCCTTGCCCTGATTTATTTTCCCTTTACATTTATTACTACTGCTAGGAGACACTGTATTATATATAAATTTATTTATGGCACATTTTGCACCTCTCACCCCCTACACTGTAAGCTCTATGATGGTAGGGCCTGTGCATTTCTTATTCACTGCTATATCCCCAATGCTAATATGCCTAATATAGTGCCTGGTGGCCAATACATATTTGTTGAATGGCTGAACAGACGCAGACTGAATGCCAAATAATGTAACTTAGCAAAGAAAGCATAGACATCAAAATATTAAAGAAAACAATGGCTAACTTAAACATAGCAGTCACCTAAGTAGCTGTATCCATATACACCTACACACCTCACAAAGCTGCCTTTGCTGAAAACCTATTGGGAACTCTTCTGCAAGAATTGTTTTCAGAGCCAGTTTGTGAATTACACGATTGGTCTTTTTACTTCATAAGTCATATTGTGTTTCACCAAAAACTTTACAGTGTAAAAAAGGCAAACTGAGCACAGAAAATACATGAGAATATATTTCAGGCTCTCAAGACAAGGCCTCAGAAGTTTAGATGACTAGTGACATCAATTGACTAAGTGTATCACCTCTCAAGAACATGGACTGAAAAGGGTTAATGCTCACAACATGAAGGTGCTGGAGTATGAAATGAAAAATACACAATTTGGGCATATGTAAAATTATCTGAGGACAAAGAGGTAACTTCTTATATTTCTCTTCTACTGCTAACTCCAAAAAGGCCGCTGCAGGTGGGTTGCTGCTAGACTGTGTTCAAGACCGTTTGGCTGAGGACTCACCCGTTCTTCCAGTCACTCGGTATCTTCAACCTGCCCACTCCAGCCCACGTGGCGTTTGCACTTATCTTCTCCCACTGATCCAGCCATACACCATCTCCTTCATGAGTGTGGACACTCTAAAGACTTTCTGTCTTAAAAAGTATTATTTCAAACAGCTAACGAAGAAAGGAAAATCCTTAGGGCAAAAGAAGTCAAAGAACAGGGAAAATGACAGCAATATCCTGAGTTTCAGGATGGTAGCTTATTCAAAAATATATTTAAATGTCATAGGGCGAACAGAACACTGAGTTCGTGTCTCAGAAATTCTTCCTCCCAGTAGGGAACAGAGAAGCCCACCCAAAACTATAATCACTCTTTCCCCTGTGTATTCCAATAGTATTGGCCAGACAAAGAAAAAGGGAATGGGTCCTCTTAGGCAATTCCACTCATCTCCTTTTTGGTAGCAATAAGGGCAAATGAGGATTAAAGATAATAAGAAGGACTGGAAAGACAGACACACCAAAGGTACTGTGTCAAGATTTTTTTGAGATGTGTTCATAAATGAATGAGTTATTTCAGAGCCACACAAACAAATCGATCTCTTTACTGGAGAGGCACACCTCTCACCTGTATATTATTCAAATATACTAACACATGAAAGATCACATCACCTTGTTTATGGATACATTTAATATCCCTTACCCTTCCCGCCTTTCAAAACATAATAGTATACAAAATATAAAATATCTTAAATATTTATAAAAATCGCAAGAAAAAAATAGAATGTATGAAAATATTTTTATCTGAATTCTCCCCCATTGCTGAGAGGCAGCTTAGTTTGCCTTGAGTTCATAACTGTTGAGTGGATAGGAGTATGCCCTGCCTAATACTATTCTGTCCCGGAGGAGCTTAAATAAAACATAGTAGTTGCAGAAGAGGATGAGAGCCATGGAAAGTGTGTGGTTCCACTTCTCCGACCGCAGTAAGGAATAGAGCTGGTAGAAGACGACGCTGCCCTCAATAAGGATAAGCAGATTTAACAGCCTTAATGGACGATGAAATAGGAACTGTAAGGAAGTTAAAAAGCAACACATTATTTCATAAAAAAGTAAACGCTGTATTTATTCTTACAAATTTTCTCCTAAAAATTTCCTATTTATAGGTTACTATAGGCAATAACAAATAGATCTGCTTACTGAATATCAATCAGGCTATTTCTTGCTATAGAGACTCAAACCTTTTCCTTTTTGCTCAAGGAATAATGAAATTTTATTTCACGGCCCCTGAGACATGAAAAGGGATTATATTCAAAAGAACTCTGTCTCTGAAGACTGTTGGGTTTGTTTGGGGTTTTTTCCCCAGATATTGAGAAGTAGGGTGCACAGAGACAGGACAACGAGGAAGGAAGGAAAAATTAATCAGAATTAGAGTGTGGCTAAAAGCAAGGCTCACTGTTTTCACTTCCATCAAATTCTTTAAGAGGCTAAATCCTGGTTTACTAACAAAAACATAGTAGGAATAGAAAGGTTGAGGTCTTAGGTTGCAAATTGTGGTAACAGCAGTATATCGGATCTAAAAGAACTAATTTACACTTCAAGGCTCAAATCTGAGAATAAAGCCAAATTATCACGACAGCTCTGAAAGGCAGCCAGGTTCTCAGGGTCCTTCAAGAGGAAGAAAACGCTTAACCTGGGTTTTATTACATACTACCGTGTATAAAATTGGCTCTAAATTAATATTCTAAAAGGACTCAGGCAATTTCAGATTCTGTGGCAATTATAACAATTATAATTAAAGGTGCTAGTAAGCAATAAACTGAACGACTAGAAAGGTGAGGACAGGCTTTAAATTCTAACAGCTACAGGTAACAGGCACATTTTAAATGAGTGTTCTCGAACTTTGAGTGCCTAAGAATCATTTCCAAATACGCAAATCCCTGGGATCCTTCAGAGATTCTGATTCAGCAGTCTGGGCCAGGGCCCCAATCTCTGTTTCTGAAGAGTGAGCCTGGTGGTTTATATGCAAGGAGACCAAGGACCACTTTGAGAAGTGCTGATTTTACTGTTTGCCAAATCAGTAATAAGTTAATTTCCCTAATCCTTCTTCTTTGGATTCTACCTGATTCTTCAGCTGTCCAACACTAGGCAAGGAAAATACTTATTTTTCAAGCAGAAAATTCTGACAAAGCATCTGCTTATTGTAGGTTTCCAGGGGATAGCAAGGGCCAACAGAAGACATTAAAGGCCTATGGAATTCAGCTGGGTGAATTAAATATTCCATGTAGAAACCAAATACTTATGAAGTTGTGACTTAAATCCACTCCTCCATCTTAAGGCAATCCCACAGGAGCCTAGGAGATAGTTGTAGTTTCCTCATTCAAGGGCCTTTCACCCTCCCCATGCTCCTCCCAACCCCCACCCTGCCACACCCTCCCCGACCATGGTATTTAAAAGCATCCTGTCCTGATGCAAGTTCTCAGTGTTTCATTGGTAGCAAATACCTGCAGAACCAGAAAGTCTATGTACCCTCACAAGGAAATGGGAGGGATGGATGGGAGGGAGAGAAAAAAGGATTCAAGTATTTCAAAAAAAGGTCTCCAATCCTTTTTTTTAGACTATGATGTCTGTTCAAAGGCAATGCACTGTACTACTACAGTTATTTTCACTAAGAACGGTCCCCTACGTGCACCTTCTTTCCCCCACTCCCATTGATCTGCTGGCCTTTTACAAGTAAATACTTCTGCCTCCTGGAGCCAGAATTTCTGGAAAACTGAAAGATCAAATAGAACATAACCCAAGGCATAGTAGATTCAAATGAAACAGAAGCTGAGTTTAGCAGGCGTCTATTGCTTTCTCCTTTTAAGACTTTTTTCCTTCTAATTCAGGAGAAGGTAAAAGTTAGGCCACAGATCATGGCATTTATCTTTCAAAGGGGAAGTCAAGGTATTTTAAGGAGATGATACATATGACAAATACCCAAAAAATCCCATTACATTATTACTATATTAAATACTGCTTAAGGATACACAGATACAATATAGTAAGGATACCACTAAACCAAACTATTACAATAAAAATTATAAGATAAAAATAGAAAGGCTTAAGTAATGGCCTACTTGTTTCAAGTAATACTAGACTCAAATTCCAACGTAACTAGAGAAACCAGCCAAGCTGTTGAAGTTGGGGTAACAGTATCTGACCTTCAAACTGCCTTTCAGAAGATATTTCCAAAAGACAGGGGCCAGTATTACAGCAGTAGTCATTACCAGGTATTAATTTCCTAGTATGTGCTACATACTGTGCTAGATGCTTACACAGAGTGGCCTCCTACCACCCCTAAGCTTATGTTTGAAAAGAAATAAGTGATACTTGCATAAAAGCGGGCATGGGATACATCTGAAGGCACTGCCACGTTGTAAGGCCCCATGGCTCTATATAAGCATCTGCTGTGTCGCACCAGCACCCCTTGAGGCCATATTGTATTTTCTGACCAACTAAGGGAGAAAGAAATGCAATGTTAGCAAATTGGCAATTACAGATAAGATAGCATCTGGCAAGGCCAGCTTTATTTCTATGGAAGGCATTAAATATTCAAGGCTTCATCTGCCTGAATTCTGAAAACACAGTAATTCCGTGGTCAGACTGGAAGAAGTTAGAAAGGATTTGTTATTTTAACTTCACTGCCGTATAGTAAAAACATGGCAAAGTGATACAGTTAACTTAGTGTGAAAGGACTTAAGAGGCTTAGGAGAACAAGCAGAAACAAATGTGGAAGTAAGGCATCTAAGCATTTTTGAGCCAGGAAATCGAGTGCAAGCAGGTGGACTGTCATCTCAATCTCAAGTGAGCAGAGTCTACTTGTGGAAATGCAGGAGGGAACGAACAAGAAGAGAAAGTGGATGGCAATAAGAGCAGTGGAGAAATTAACACGTCAAACTAGCATGACATTTGCTGCAGAGTTACATCCCGAAAAGCTATATAGACAATCAGCTTATTTATCACATACTTCAAATGCCTCATATATGCAAGAAACTATACTGAAGAACACAGAGACACACAAGGTACTGACACAAAGACTTTTCTTTTTACCACTTTCTTGGTTTATTTTTATAGAAGTTTCTCTAGGAAAAAGAAGTTATGGAAGAAGCTTCATTCTTTCCAGCACCAATGTAATGGAGTTGGGGTAGGGATGGGGATCTTCAGGTTAAGCTTTTAAAAAAAATCTAAGTTAATTCATCTCTTCCTGATTTTGGAAAGGTTAGTTTCCTAGGGTAAGAACTGGGACAGCATTTTAGATACGTTAAAAAAAAAAAATTCTAGCACCCTGAAGCTTTCCCAGTTCAGAAAATGTTCCGTCAGCCTTGCTCACACTTACCAGCATTAAAGTGATGATAACCTCATGGCCATGTGCCATCAGGAGCCTGAAGATGTACAGTACTAGTACTGTGGATTGTATTTTCAATTTTTATTGAAATTTGTCCTTTGCCCACAGTCGGGTTTCTTTTCAGCCTGGCCCAATCTCTTTCAGTTCCTGGGCTTGAAGGCCTGTGCTAATCTGTATCAGACATCAAGGCAGATAATTGAAGGGAGGACTCTGAGGGGGAGAGGGGAAGGGAAGGTCACCTCAATCTGTCCCACTTAATTAGGAACGAATTTCTAGGGGATGAAATTTGTGAAATGTTCAAATTATAAAAAGGAGGAAGATGAAGATGGTCCAGGTCTGAGAGCAAGGTATGATGAAGGACTCAGAAGTGAGAAAACAAAAGGATTCTAAAGTTAGCCATTTTGGATCATAGGGACCATGCAAAGAAATGACTGACAAGGGGACACAATGAGAGGAATACTGAGAGAGAATTCAGTTAGGGACAGTTTTCATTTAAATGTGGGAATAGCAGGGAAATATTCATTAGTGAGTTTAGGAAGAAAAGAAAAAAATTATAATTCAGGACAGGAAAATTACTAGAACAAATTTGCATTTTTTAGAAAGAAAAGATGAGAGAAGCAAATTCCAGCTGCCTAAGTGTGAGATGATTAGCTAGCAACTATTTAGCTGTGGTAATGAAGATGAGAAGATGAATCCTACAGTCCTCTAAAGAAAATTAAAAACATATCATGATTCTTTGAATTTGGGCAAAAGGTTAAGACTGAAAGAAAACTCCAAGATTATAGCTTGGGAAACAAATTACAAACTCTAGAGTGACTGGGCAGTTGAAAGGTAGGAGGCATTTAAGGAGGAACTGGGGATGGTGGTGGAAATGAGTTAATGTCCCCTGTGTTCAGTTTAGAGTGATGGCAAGCATCCATGTAGACAAAAACTAAAAATTAAATGTTCAAAGCCAAGATCAAGAATGACATACAAGCAAATAAATATGATCAGCAGCATGTAGAAAGGTGTTACATGGTTTTACCCTCTAGCCTACTCACATGTGCTGTGGAGCATTGCTGTAGGACCCATGTTCGAGCTTCTGCCACTTGCCCAGGTGAGCAGCTGATTTATGTAGCAAATCACAGTACTTGGATGGCAGCAGTTGTGTGGTGAGCATGACAAAAGCATTGATCCACACCATAATGAGGTGCTCGCACGACCAGCGCATGTCATAGTACTGGGTACTCTGGAAGAGATCAGAAGACAGAGAAATGTTCCATGCACTGGTGAGCAAGAAGGCAGGGATGGGTGCGTGTACATACGCCCTGCAGACAAATGCCACACTGAGTCACACATGCACTGGTTGTCCTGCTGTCCGTGCAGAAAGTTCAAGAGCAGAGTCCTCCAAAATCCTTCAACCTGACTTTCTGGCTGTATGAGTTAGGGCTGGGAGGGAGAGGCAATTTTATTTTAAGTGCTTCCTTTCTGGAAGAAGTGAGTGCTCTCAGTGATTGACCACTCCGGTTGCAGATGTGCTTCTCAATGGGTGAAGGAAGGGAACTACAATGTTCCAAAAGATTTTGGGCTCAAGTGACATCCAGACCATTTTTCTTTTCTACTGAAGTAAACTGAAGTTTAGGTAAAGGTTAGATTAAATTCAAGAAAACTCCTGATAATCATGTCAAGATCAACCACAGTAGGCTGAATTTTATTGATTCCTCGGTCCTCTTAAGCTACTATATACCGATTCTATTATAAGTACAAGTTTTATTCTCCCGGGAAACTGAAAAAAAAAAACTTAAAAAAAAAGGAAAAGGAAAAAAGGGGACCACCACGGGTGCATCACATATATGGAAATACCTATCCGCCAACCAGGAGCGGTATTAGTGCACTCCAGATGCAGCCGAACTCCACCATCCAGGCTGCCAAAGGGGAGACAGAGAAAAGGGGGATTAAATAAGACCAACCCAGTTTATGTCATTCACACACAAATCCAGCAAGCACATAAAAGCAAGTGACCACTCACCTTCACAAAACACAGGGGAAGAAATGCAACATAGTAGGCACTGAAGAGGGAGTTGAAGAGAACTTCCTTGATTCTGTGGTTGAAATCTGCTTTCAGACATTCTACTTCATTTCGAATGAGGTCTGGAGACAGGGGGCAGCTGTGGGTGGGGATGGGCGTGGCATTATTGAACTGTTCTTTTAACGACTCCAGCAATAAGGAGAGGAAGTCTTTGGATTTGGCCAAGCCACCCACAGTGGAGGCAGTTTCCTCCACTGCCTGGTGCTGGACCACATAGTTATAGTCTGTGAGAAGAAGATGAGCTCTACTATCTTGGTGGAAACAGCAGAGAGGAACATAAACACCAAACCTGTAGGAAAAGGTGATATAAAATGAGACCACAGATGCCACCAACATTAGATCTTATAACTACGTTAGTAAAACAGTGATGATTCACCACAGCAAATATAATATGACAGGGGCTTTGTTAATGGTAAATTCATTATTTGGGAAACTCTTTAACTAATTTCTTCCCACAAAGGCAATACATATTCATTGTAGAATAATAGAAAACTACAGGAAATCACAATGACAAAATACAAATCACCTAGAAATAAGCATTTTTACATTTTTCATAATTAGGTGCACAGACTTTATACTTTTTTCTTTTGTATGTTTAGCCTCATACAGTATAAACTGTTTTGGTCTGTTGTTTTAACTTTGGGTGTGTGTTTATGTATGTACACATGTACTGAGCATTTTCCCAAATCATTTAACATTTTTCTGTAACAATTTTTTTTTTTAAAGATTGGCCCTGAGCTAACACCTGTTGCCAATCTTTTTTCTTCCCCTTCTTCTCCCCAAAGCCCCCAGTGCATAGTTGTATATTCTAGTTGTAGTTCCTTCTAGTTCTGCTACGTGGACCACCACCTCAGCATCGTTTGATGAGCAGTGATCTGAACCAGTGAAACCCTGGGCCGCCAAAGTGCAGCACGTGAATTTAACCACTCAGCCACGGGGCCAGCCCCTCTGTAGCAATTTTTAAAGATACTACAGTATTCCCATATAGATGTACCAAAATTTACCCATTTTTCTCTTGTGGGAAACGAGCCATTTCTTATTCTCCACTATGATAAATATCAATGGGATAAGCACTTTCCTACACAGATCTTGAGTGCATGTGCTAATTTTCAAATGGCTTGCTTTTCACTTCAAATTTCCCCTTCTTAGTGGGGCTCCCCTGCCTCTGCGCTACATCACCACCCCTACTACCACAGGCATTCCTAATTCCCCTTGCCTGGTTATTTCTCTCCATAGATCTTACCGCTCCATATATTTTACATGTTTATTAGGTTTTTTTCTGGGTCTATCTTCCCCTCACTACAATGTAAGCTTCACAAACCTGAGATTTTAGTTTGCTTAATTCACTGCTGTACCCTTCGTGCCTAGAATAGCGGCTGAAAATTAATAGGCACTCAATAAATATTTGATGGATTAATGAAAAAAATTCTAGAAGTACAATAAATAAACTTCTATTAGTAGAATTACTTGGTTAAAGTATTAAATATTTTTGAGACTTTTCGTAACTTCTTATAGTTACTCCAACTTTTGGTTCCTTAAAAAATTTTTAAATACTTCCCCAAGTCCTCATTAAGTAACTTCCACAGTGTGACCTAGGTATTGCAAATAAGTCATTTCACTGACATAAATTCAGATATTAAAAACAGCAAATAAAAAAGGTCTTATTTAGTTATAAAAAAACAGACAAATGTCAGCTATCATAGTTTTCTATAGAGGGAGAAATGATGAGCTTATTAGTAAGTAACAGGATGGTTAACAGCAGCTCCAGGATCCAATGTGAATGGGTCCTGGAGCAGCAGGGTGGGAGGGATAAATGTGGAAGCATCAGGCAGAAGAACTTGCCCATGTGCAAAACCGCGAAGGCCAGAGAAGGCTATAGGTTCATTATTGCTGAACATGGGAGGGCGGGGCAGTCAGAGGCTGGGTATGCGGTAGACTGCAATGATGGCCCCATTTCTCTACCCTTCCTTATAGTCTCACCCACTGCCATGTAACCACACAGCCTTCATTCTGTGGGTGAGGTGCCCCTGCCCTATCCCCATACTGGGCTCAACAAGGTGACTTGTATTTGGCCAAGGGGATGTCAGCAGACATGCTTGTGATCAGAAGCTTGAAATGAGCTTGCACAGTGAGGCTTGCTCTCTTGCCACTCTGTTAATTTTATGTGATCATATCCAGGCCCGCCTGCCAGAGCATGAGAGATGTGGAACAGAGCTGAGCTGTCCTAGTTGTCTAAACTGATAGCCAGTCAATCCCACCACATGTGACTGAACTCTCAGCTAAGATCAGGATATGTGCAATAAACACCTACTGTGGTGTGCTACCATGGTTTTGTGGTTGGTTGTTACAGCATTATGTAGCAACAGACAACTGATATAGGGTAGAATGAGAGAAACTGGAAAGGTACCATCAAAGGCTTAGACTATGGAGGACTTTGTAAGGTAAAGGAAATGATTCATTAAAGAATTTTAAAGAGGGTTAGTAACATGATTCAACTTCCATTTTGAAAGTCATTCTAGCGACAATGAAAAACGGAATGGAGGAAGGCAAGAATGGATTACCAGAAGACCTGATGGAGGTTTAGAATGCAATAGCAGAGATTATGGAGAGCACTGGAGAGATTCAAGATAAATGTAAGAGCTACCGCTGCTCATCTTTGGATTTATTTACCCTCACCTGCAAAGCTGAGAATCAAATAAAAAAAAAAGAGGCAGAAAAAAGTCCCTTTCTTATCTTATGAATAAATAAGAAAATAAAGATGTGGTCATTGCCATTGTCTAGCATTTTAAATTTCTCATACTTAATTTTTAAATTGAAGTCAGATAAAAGTTAGATTATACAACTTTTAAAAAGTAAAGGAGGTAAATATATTTAAAAGTAAAATTTGTTTAAAGTACATGCTTATTTCATTGTTTCATGGGGTGTGGAGAGCCTCCACAAATAAGCAAGCTTCTTTATATACATAAATTGAAATGAAAAAGCTTGCTAGCTATTTTGATGATGGCAATCCTCTTAAATTTGGCCAAAATACTCCTTGATAAATCCATAACTAGCCTTTCATATCAGATATAACTAACCTTCTTATTGATTCAACTAGCTGTTGATAAACAGAATAAAGTATACACCTTAATCTGAATCATGAAAAATGGTATTTATAACATACAAAATTCATTTTGTAGGAAAAAGGGTAACATTAATGAATTGAGTTGATGAGTGCCTTAAATAATTGTTTAAACACTATAATTAGACATACCCTAGTACTACCAATAGAAAGATTCCTCCTGCCATCCTTACCCACACAATCTCTGATTATACCTTGATTTTATACTGTGACTACACATATAAATTCATGCTTACACTTCAGCACCATAAATGGTATAAAGCAATGATTCTCAAACTTGAGCAAGCATCAGAATCATCTGGAGAGCTTGTTAAAAGGCAAATTACTGGGCCCTACTTTCTAGAGTTTCTGTTGCGGTAGATTTGGGGTAGATTCTGACAATTTCTATTTCTAACAAATTTCCAGCTGATGCTGGTGCTTCTGGTCTGGGAACCACAGTATGAAAACTACTGATATAGAATAATGGTTAAGACAAGGGTTCTAGAATCAAAAAGACCTGAGTCTTTATCACAAACTGTTTGACCATGGCAACGTTTTTAAATCTCTTAACCTGTCTTTACCTGTGGCTAATAGCCACTAATTCTCCTGTTCTGCTAGCCACTGTTCTCCTGTTCTTCCATATCAACAGAAATTTTAGTTGAGATACAGCTGCCCTACTAAAGACTTAATTTTCCAGCCTCCCTGACAATCTATCCTGCTAGGGGAGGGTGGAGCAAAAAAGATAGCAGGAGCCTGGGTCCTGACACCATGGAGCTGCCATAGCCACCCAAGACGACTTCCATACACACTGTACAGGAAAGAAGAATAAACTTATAACTTTTTAAAGCCACTAATATTTTGGATCTGTTATAGCAGACTAAATACACTACTCCCCCGGGGTATTGTGATGATTTCATGAGGTGATGTTTATAAGCACCTAGTCCAGCACTTAGCACATAATAAGAGCTCAATAAATTGTAGCTGCCTATTAACATGCAATGAAGAAAGTATTAGTCAAGTGTATACAAGTTAAACTAAGCAAGGTAGTTAGTTTAATAAGCCAATATGTACAATAAGATACCACTATACACCCATCAGAATGGCTGTAATCTAAAAAAACAGAAAACATTAAATGCTGGCAAAAATACAGAGCAACCAGAATTCTTACAGAATTGGTAGAAAGATAAAATGATACAACTTCTTTGGGAAAAGGTCTGATAGATTCTTATAAAACTAAACATACTTCTACCTTATGGTCTAGCAATGCCCCTCCTAGATATTTCTCCTAACAGAATGAACATATATCTTTGTGAAAAAGACTTGTATAAGAATGTACACTAACAGTCTTATTTTTAACAATAGCCAAAAACTGGAAACAACCCAGGTGTCCAACAATAGGAGAATAAACAAACTGTGGTATATTCATACGATGAAATACTACTGACACACACAACCACATGGGTGAATCTCAAAAACAATATGCCGAATGAGAGAAGCCTCACACAAAAGTGTACTTACTGTCTGATTCCATTTATGAAATTCTAGAACAGGCAAATCTCTGGTGGAAAAAAATTACAACAATGGTTGCCTCTGGGAGGCGGGGGGTGTGATTGATTGGAAAGGGGCATGAAAGAAGCTCTGGAATTGTTAACGTTCTATATGGGAACAGGTTTGAGTTACACAGTATATGCATTTATCAAAACAGCAAATGTACACAAGATTTGTGAATTTTATTGCATATGAATTTTACCTCAAAAGAAAAAACTGTAAAAAATATCAAACTCTAGTTATTGATATGCACATGCTGACATATTTTGGGGGAAGTAAACTGAGGCCTGTGATTTAATTTTAAAATGCACCAAAAATAAGAATTGATGGATGGATAAAGGAATGGATGAACAGATATTGTCATGCAATTACAGTAAAATATTAATGGGTAGAATCTAGGTGGAGGTTACGTAGGTATTTGCTTAAAAATTTCTTCAATCTTGTGTGTTTAAGTTTCCATAATAAAATGTTGGTCAAAAAAAGTATGTGGGGGCTGACCCCAAGGCTGAGTGGTTAAGTTTGTGGGCTCCGCTTTGGCAGCCCAGGGTTTCACTAGTTAGGATCCCAGGTGCAGACACGGCACCGCTCGCCAGGCCACGCTGAGGCAGCGTCCCACACAGCACAACCAGAGGCACTCACAACTAGAATATACAACTATATACTAGGGGGCTTTGGGGAGAAGGGGAAAAAAAGAAAAGAAGACCGGCAACAGTTGTTAGCTCAGGCGCCAATCTTTAAAAAAAAAAAAGTATCTAAGTCTATAGGGCTTGAATATGGCATTCTTCTGTTATAAGGAGCCAAAGATCAAAGTAATTTGACCAAAAGGGTAAGACTGGTTGAGCCAGTTCATTCAACTAACATTAACCACCCTTTGTTCCAATATGGGCAGTACTAGGCGCCTTTATTTGGTGAACAGAGCTAATTAAAATATTCTCCATTAGTAGGAAGGCCGTACCTCTCAGGTTTCTTGGAACAGTCCTGGTTTATGCCTGTTGTCCTAACTGTATCCTAATTTAGAAAATAAATTATACGGTCATCCTACCCTCTGATTTTTTTCAATTTTCTGAACTCTTGGTTTATATTCAAAGAATTTCATTTTCCTTTTTTTACACTATTTTCCATTTTCATTTTTTATACTTTGTTTCATTTTCATTTTTTATACTATCATTTGCATAACCCAAATAATTTCTTAAAAGACTTACTAATAAAATGGTAAAACTGAAGTACTCACGGGTAGCCAAGGAAGAGGAGATTGAGGACTGAATGGCTTCTGAAGAGATTGACGAGGGTCCAACAAAGTACCCATCCACACAAAGTGAGCAGCACCAGGCGAGCAGATATCAGAACCATGTAGTGAATCATGGACGCTGCACCCGCCTTAGTAGCCTGAAAGTTTGGAAGCACCAAAAGGAACATTTTATAAATGACCTGATTCAAAAACAATGTGACTCAAGTAAGGACTTAGTAGATTTAGTGGAAGGTAAACTGTGTGTGTGAAAGGAAGGAAGGGAGAAGAGACGAAAAACTGCCCCATCCCACCTTATCTTCCTGGTCTGAGTTTCCAGAGCCACGTCCACCAGTGACCCTGGACGGTAGCAAAACAAATAAAACCCTGAACCCAAACCCCGCTACCACCGTAGGTCTGTAATTACTCTTGAATCAGTAAGTGATGACATCAAGAAATGTGCTATTAAAACAGTGTACTGAGAACCTTCTTCAAGTGGAGAGCTATTAAAAATCTGAGAAGTGACGTCAGCATCACGGCAGAGTGAGATTTCCTGGCAATCTCTCCCCTCCACCACCTTATCTTCCTCATTCTTGAAGATTAAGACTTCTCCAGGCACAGTTAGTTGTTTCCTCCTTGTATTCCCATAGTACCTCATATAGACCTCCTTTAAGTTCCCACAATATTGTATAATTTGTTTACACTGGGGCTTCTCAAAGTATGGTCCATGAACCACATTCATCAGAATCACTTGTGCTGCTTATTGAACACGAAATTCCTACTGACTTTCCTCACCAGATATAGGGAACAAAATCAGGAGTCAAGGAACCTGTATTTTAACAACCCACCAGGTAATTTTTATATACATAAAGATAGCAAGCCACTAATTTATCTGACTCTTGACTAGACTGTAATGGCCTCAACAGCAGCAACAGTTTCTAGTTTTCTTTGAATCCTCCCCACAATCTGTTTGCTGAATTAATCTTTAATAAATTACTGAAGCTTCAAAAAATAATCAGATCTTCAGGACAAATCCCTACATAAATAAAAGTTTCTTTTTTGACTTTTGCACACATGGAAATAATGCATGATCCCTTCCAATTCTTTATATCACAGCTGTTCAAATATTCTTCTTTAATCTCAAATCTTTAAAACTAATTAAATATAGTAAGAAAACATACTTGTCGAAACATGAAGCCCTGCAATGTGATTTTCTTCCAAGTAACTAGGAAGGAGAGAATGAGCAAAACGCAGGGGATAATGGTGTATTTCTATAACCTCCAAAAGAGCAGTGCCAGATCTCAGAAAGGGAAAAAAATTATCTGGGTTCAATAGCACATGGAAGGCATAAGAGCCTTTTAGGTCCCCCCTTTCTACCATTTCTTAGTTTACCCATACTACATGGCACATATAACATACATTCAATATGTACTATTTACATAGTTACTTATAAATGCAAAGAAGCAGGTGAATTAATTAATATCATAATGAACTGCTTAAACGTCAAACTGTGGAGAAGGTTCAAGCATTCTCAGCCATAGCAGAGCAAATAGTTGCATATCACTCCCCGATACACACCTCATGCTGATGTACCTCATGTATGAAAGCCTAGGGAAGGCATTGAAGCCATTGGAATTACTCACTGCCTCTATTCTGAAAAGTTTAGGGTTAGAAATAAAAAAGGCTGCCTCTGCCCAATGTCACCAGCACAGCAGAGCCTGGATGTATTCATCATTTTTGCCTTCTTCCAGAGCCCAAGCTCTTAACCACTGTGCTCTGTGTGACAGATACTATACCAGGTCCTGGTGATAATCAAGACAAACAAGACGTCTGTCTTTATGAGGCTGCCCAACCAAGAACAACAAATATAAAACTTAAAATTAAGCAAATAATTATTTTTACAATTGTGATGAGTGCTACAAGAAAAGAGTACACTGCTAGGGAGAGCAAATAACAGGAGACCCTAAGCTAGGAAAAGTTCCTGAGGAAGTGATATTTTAGCTGAGATCTAGAGGATAAGCAAGAATTAGCCAAGTAAGGAGTAGAAAAATATTTCTAACACTATTATTCCTAAGTGAGAGGTACAGGATATAAAACTGTATACAGATAATGTCCCAAATATCCAGACAATACAAAGATAATGTCCCAAAGAGAGATATATTCTCTATATGTTTATAAAGATTAGAAAAAAAATATGAATGTAGTTCAATAATGGGGTTGTGAGTAATTTAAAACATTTTTCTGCTTTATATTTTAGTATTTTCCAATAAAATATTCCACTTTTCTATTTAGAAAAACAATTTTTTAACAACAGTGTTGCCTCAGGTTGGTGAAAGAATAGTTGAATAACTTTCGGTCTTGTGGAGCAAGTAGAGAAGTGGAATTGGCCTGGAGGGGAATAAACAGAGTCCATCTAGCTGGAGCGGTATTCCTCCTAGAACAGCATTTAGTTCTCTGAATTAACTGCCTCTCCTTAAAAATGATGGGTCTTTCTCAGAGTAGGGATCCTTTCTGTGATATAATCAAAAAAAGGGCAACAAACATATTTTGATGAAAGGAAGGAAAGCTGACTTATAATGGGTCTTACCAATCTAATTTAGATAATTTAGGAAGAGAACCACTATACAGCTCTTATGTTTAATTTTTGAATAAGTAATACACTCACGCTGCTCAAAATACAAAATGTGTAACAGTGTTTGCAGCGAGGTTTCCCTGTCTCCCTGCCACCAACTAGGCAGCCCATTATTAGTTTCTATGTCCTAGAAAAAAATGTATTCGAATAGCAAATATATGTTGTTCCTTCCACCTGCCTTATTTTAAACACAGTGCTGTACTTTCCTTTTTTCACTTAATATCTTACATGAAGACATTTTCATTATTTTAATGGCTGCATACTATTCCATTATGTAGCTATACAATAATTATTTAAACATTCCCTTTCTGATGGACATTAAAATACAGATTTAAGTCTTTGACTAGAAATCTATTTAAATTTATCTTAAGTATTTTGTTCTCAGTAAGAATTACAGGTTTCTTTAGAAAACAGCTAATATAGTCTCCAACGAAGGTTATGCAAAAGCTGTTCCTCTGTTGTTAAGCTATCAGTAAAAGAAACAGAGTACTTCGAGTTATAGCCCTTGTGGCTCCCAGGTAGAAACCCCAGTTATGAAGGGTTTACACACTAACTGGATATACTAATTTGACATACCCAAGTACCATTTCTAAGTACTGAAGAGATGAAACTAAATCATTCCTTGCCTGTCTTGACAGATGTAAACATAAAACTCCACTGAGTTCCTCTTAAGAAAGAATGTAGCTTCTCATTACAGCCAAAAGTAAGCATCTATTTTCATAACTTAAATAAAGAACCTGGGAGAAAAGGTTACAGACAGCCTTTCCCACTGTGCAGAACAGACAATCCTACTACTAATGTTTTTCAGTTAACTTCAAATGGCTTTCAGATTATGACTTAATATCTGCAATTACTCTGTGCTCAGAAATAAGGTTCCTGAAAACTAGAGCTTAAAGATACAAAGACTTTCCACATATTTTTTTTTTTTTAAGATTTTATTTTTTCCTTTTTCTCCCCAAAGCCCCCCAGTACATAGTAGTTCTTCGTTGTGGGTCCTTCTAGTTGTGGCATGTGGGATGCTGCCTCAGCGTGGTTTGATGAGCAGTGCCATGTCCACGCCCAGGATGTGAACCAACGAAACACTGGGCCGCCTGCAGCGGAGCGCGCGAACTTAACCACTCGGCCATGGGGCCAGCCCCTCCACATATGTTTTAAAGGAAAAAAGCTGCTTCTCAGTTATTTGTGATTATAGTAACTACTCACTTAATATATCTCACTGAATTATAAACTCTAAGATTAAAATTATTAACCACTTTAGCTAAGTTAACATTTTTTCGTTTTTGTTTTTGTAATCATTTGTACGGCACAGATAACAAAGTCTTAAAACATTTAACTTCCCTCACTGGGGTTTACAAATATATAAAAAATGATACCAATGGCCAATTCTATCAACAACTTTTAATTTTAAAAGGATCCTATTAATGTCCCAATTCTTTCTTCCTCTGCCCACTAAACTTAGATTCTGATCTTCAAGATTAGTCCTATGCAAATTTGGATTTTTAAAATTCCAAGTCATTTTAAAATTCCAAGTTTTAATAAACTCAAACAAATCCATTGCTAGCAACTCCACAAATGGTATATAAATAATTTCAAGTGAATGTTACTTGAAACAATGTTTTAGATGCAATTGTTTATTTATATATAACTCTTCCTATCAATGGTTACCTAAAATTCATCGTATTTTTACTGTAACTATTAAAATTAGAAAGATTGTACTGAAGAACCTGGAAGCTAGAAATAAGTTCCTACTGGACAAATGAGATTTCTAACAGTTCTCTTGAGTTATATCACACTTAAATTTTAAATATATTGTAGGAAAATCTTTATTAAAAAAAAAAGTAGCACAGGGGCCAGTCTGGTGGTGTGGTGGTTAAGTTCACGTGCTCCACTTCAGGAATCCAGGGTTCACCAGTTCAGATCCCAGGTGCGGACCTACACACAGCTGCTTATCAAGCCATGCTGTGGCAGGCTTCCCACATATAAAATAGAGGAAGATGGGCACAGATGTGAGCTCAGGGCCAATCTTCCTTAGCAAAAAGAGGAGGACTCGTGGCAGATGTTAGCTCAGGGCTAATGTTCCTCAAAAACCAACAAACCAAAACCTAGCACAATTCATATGGGAGTAAAGAAATTAATTTATAATTGTATCCAAATTATATTTGGACAATTCACATTTCAAACTGAACCCATTCTAATAACTAACTTTTGCTATATGTGATAGAATACAGTGAATGAGCTGTTACCTCTGAGATGAGGGCCCATACAAGCCTCCTTGCAAGCATCACTGTGATGAATGCTGCCAGGTGGTAATCAATGAGATGAAAATTCTATAAGAGAAACAAATAACTGCATCAGAAAGAAACATGTGTATCAAACTGGAACTACTACATGAAGAGGTTTGCTCCCTCACAAGATCTTCCTTACGTCACTTCACACAGACCATGGGAATTTGAGAGATCTTGAAGAGAATATCCACCTTCTACTTCTCCTTTCATGGCAATTGCTTTAACTTTTCAAACACTATTTTAAACTATCTGGAATGCATTCCTCTCCTTTTTCTGAAAGTTAATTGTATTAAAAGGAAACGATTACAGCTTTGGGTTAACAAGTGATAACCTGCAGAATCATGGCAAGAATAATTTCTCTAAAATGCCATATTTATCATGAGTGTCACATTTCATGGATCAGTTGGAATTCCCAGTCTTCAGGAGTTACTGTCGTTGGTCTGTCTTTCTGTAAGCTTATGTTAATCTAATTGGCTATCTACTAACATAAACGCTCTACTCGCTGATACATCAGTTACATTCATTTGGTCTTTCTCCTTAGCATGATTTACAAATATGTCTTATATTTGATCTCTTCTTCCTACACAATGATAGCATTACCTAGATGCTGTGTATAGTTTCTTCTAAGTCTGTATATAAAACTGTGGTAATAAACAAAATGAAAAGTCATTAGCAACAAACAAAATTAGGACGTATCTTCATTTTGATGGTTAAAAGGTCTGTAGGTTTCCACAGTCCTCCTTCCAGAATGAAAAGTTGAATTTCTCAATTAATTTATTCAATAAATATGTACTGGGCATCCACTGGGCCAAGTACTCTTCCTGATACAGTGCTGAAGAAGGACAGACAAGGTTCTTGCTCTCCTGGATCTTACTTTTTACTGCGGTGTGAGAGAGAAAGGGGATGGCAGAGATTACTAGTTGTCTCCTCTGCCATCGTAGTAGAATTTAACTGGGCACTGACTCCTAGCTAACTAAAGGTTCATTTCCCAGCCTCCCTTGCAGAAACTACTTGTAGCCAAGGATGTGAGGGGAAGTGATATGAACCACTTCCAAGCCATGCCTTTAAAGGAAGGAGCTGTCTCATTCTCCTTTCTTCCTCTCTGCTGGCCAGATTTGATGACAGGAGTTGGAGCAGCTACCTTGGACCATGGTTTAGAAGCAGCATGTTGGGGGTGGCAGAGCAAGAGGTATGAAGAGTTGTCACACTGGCCTTATATCATCTACTTAATTTTTATTTAATAGTGAAATAAGCTTCTATTCTATTTTAGATAACCTGTTACAGGAGCTAAACCTATATCTTTAATAAGTTTGTTTAAGGGAGAAAGACAATGACAATAAACAAGCTAACAAGCAAAAGCATTTCAAATAGTTATAAGCACTGGTAAGGAATAAAACAGTGATAAATAACAACTGGGAAGGGAGGTGCAGAGCCAATTGAAATTGGTGGTTAGGGAGGATATCTCTGAAAAGGTGGCATTAGGGCTGACAGCTGAGTGGTAAAAAACACCAGCCATGACAAGATCTGTGAGCAGAGAGCCCCAGGCAGGGGAAAAGTAATCACAAAGGTCCTAAGACAGGAAAATATATGCCTGGTGTGTCTCAAAATCAGCAAGAAGGCTAGAATGAGGTAATAAGTGACAAAAGATTGAATTTATACATTTTTTCCCCTAATGGGAAGTCACAGGAGTGTTTTAGGCAAAGGATGCCATGATTCTATTTGTATTTTAAAGTGACACACAGAATGCTACGTGAATATATTGTAGTGGGGCAAGATCAGTTAAGAAACTATTGCTTTTAATTCCAGTGAGAAATGATGATGGATTGAACAGGGCCAGTAGCAATGGAGACAGAGTGGCCAGACTCAGGATACATTTTTAAGGTAGAGCAGCCAGAATGTCAAGAGAATGATTTACCGCTCTCCAGATCATTTTCTTTTCTCTCTCCCTCGCTAAGTGTCTGGATTCTAACAATATTTACTCCCTCTTAGTTTTGAGACTCCTCCTTGCTCACCTTGCTCCTCCAAAATAATGCAAGCAAATTCACTAGAGCCCCTAGCTAATGTCTAGGGATCTTATTTATGCATCGCCAGTCCAGCTAAGACATTTTGTATATCAAAAAATTTAAGTGCCCAATATGTCTTATCAGTGAGCAAATTTCATTACATCTAAATCACTGAAAACTGGTAATCTGCTTATGATTAACTCTCTATAAACCAGAATATTTGATTCATCAGAGCTCTCCACTCCCAACTATTCTGAAAAATTTACTATATTACTTCTAGTTTTTATGTTTCTTAGGGTTAAGACTTATTCAGCTAATTGCTTGATAGCTAGAACGCTATCTTATATATTTAGGTGTCCACATTTTCTTCTTGATAATTAAGATCTTGAAATGGAAAAAGAAAAACCTAATATATAAATCTGACAAATTTCTGAGTCAGGCATGCATAATAGAAGAAAACTTAAAAGAGACAGACCACTAGTGGAGATGTAAGTTCCTTCTAGATCTAGAGCATCCAAGTCAAACTGGGAAGGAACTAGGTCTCTGGCAGCCCATTCATCTTTGAACAGCTTACTGATTCAGGCCCCTTTCAGAGTCATGGGTTAAAATCTCATTTGCTATTCCACATGTTACTCTTAGCTCCACAATTACACTTTAAGCTTTGTGTAAGCAAGGATCACACGTGGCAGAAGTGAACCAATCCACATGAATATCCTCATTTAAGTGTGCCTTCCTCTACTGCAGAAACTAGAAAGCTAAAAACTACATTTCCAGACTTTCTTGCAACTGAAGTTCTGGATTTGATTTAATTTCTGCCAACTACAGCCACCACATAAAATCTGAAGTCAGAACTGAGTGAAGTGGAAAGAGGGGCAGTGTAAAAGGCACCCATTTTTGGTGGTATGAGTCAGAGCAAAGGAAGCCTAATTCTGGAGTCACCAGCTGTAGCAGTAGCTTCCTGATTACAACAGGAGCACTGGGTCCCTTTGTTTCAAGGCATTTGTAGGGGATTTGTAATAGAACTCCTCATCTGAAATAGTTGAATGAGAGAACTCTGTGATTAGCCTGAAAATTCAACAAGTAAGAGGTTTCCATGGAATGCCAAAGTGGAAACTGTATAATGAACTACCCAACAAGTACTTACAGAGAAAATATAGAATATATACAGGAAGTAAAGCATAGCAGATAGGTCTAGATTTGCGTGCTCACTTTGTCACCATGTGATTTTAAGCTAGTTTCATAATTTCTAGGTCTCATATTTCTCATTTATAAAATGAGAGTCATAAACTAGTGCTTACGTGTTTAAAAAGAGTAAATGAGATAATATTTGCAAAGAACATAGTAAATATTTTAAGGTGTTTGCCAATGTCACTGTGAAGATAGTGAAGTATTTACTTATAGAGCTACAAAGATGGAAGAAGCCTTAAAGATCATCTAGTGCAACCTCTTCATTTTACAACACTACAGGCAAAGGATGGATGAAGTATAGTTCTTACATTCAGTAAACTCATAATCCAGGTAGGAAAAAAAAGTCTATTAAAAAAAAAAAAAAGGATACAATTTGGCAATAAGTCACTACAATTCCTAAATAAAGAAACTGAAATTCTCTTCACCTGATATTAAGTAGGTAGACGATCAATATGGAAAGAAAATTCTTAATAGTTAATTTCAGAACAACCAAGTGATACAAATATTTAAAACAAAAATGTTTATTCCCAGGGCCGGCCCAGTGGTGCAGCGGTTAAGTTCACACATTCCACTTCAGCGGCCCAGGGTTCACTGGTTCAGATCTCGGGTGCAGACCAACGCACTACTTGTCAAGCAGTGTTGTGGCAGGCATCCCACATATAAAGTAGAGGAAGATGGGCACGGATATGCCCATACTATCTTGAAGATTTTGGTCCACATTTCCTTTCTGTGTTCACCAGGCCAGGGAGGTTTTCTAATCATTTATAAGTCCCAGACACACACATAAACTACCTAGGACAACAGTCTTCTTTTTGCCAGTGCATATCTCCATTACCCACCCAAATCTGTCACTGCCAACCACTTAGCTGTCAAGTCACCTGACTAGCCTCACTTGTTATTTTATACACCCATTTATGGAGAACGCTATCTGCATCAACTGTATCACAGCTTTCCTAAATAACTGGGAAGAGAGTAGAAGAAACCTACAATACATTTTGATGTACTTCAGCAGGGACAGTTAGTTCTTGTCTCTATTTTATTTTTGTAACAGAATCCAATTTTACTCAGGCTAACAATGAACCCAGTGAGAGGACTATATTTTGCAGCCTCTGTTGCAGTTAGGAGTTGACATGTGTGAAAATGATGTGAGCCTGGGCCATAAGAAACTCTCCTTTATACTTCTCTATGCTCTTTCCCCTTTCTGATTGACAGGGATGGACCACAGCTACCTTGCAGGCCACATGTTAGAAGATGCCAGAGTCTCTATCAGCCTAGGTTTCCTGATTGACCATGTGGAAGGGTGCTACTCCTGCCAACCAGGATAACTGCCTCACACTGTTAAGTGTTTGAAGCATTATATAATTTCAGGTTTATTTGTTATAGAAGCTACCATTATCCTAAGATAGCCATTAAAAGGGTAGAATTCCTAGAATTTAATCATATTGGCACCTTAAACTTCCAACAAATTTAACATGGTGCAGAGAAAGCTAAATATCAAAACCTTTCCATGATATTATTATAATAAATTATTTAAATGTTTTCTGCCTTTTCATTTATATTTTTACTTCCTCTGATCGTGGACCAAAGGCAGATATTTATATTTTAACAATCTTATGCTATCATATTTCTGAAAGTAATCTGTGATTTAACAGAAAAACATTTTATTAGAAGAAAAATTATTAAGAAAAATAATTTCCATATAGGCTTTCCAATGAGCTTCTTGGCTAAGTAACATGAAGAACTTAAAGGCCTGTTAAGACTTACCAGTGAAGTACAAGAAGCAGGATGATTGTAAGGATACCACCACACTGTTTTATAGATGTTGATGTACTGAATGAACAGAGCAACCAGCAGATAGATGAAAAAGAGAAATTCAAAGAGCAGGCTCCCATCCACAGGCAAATCAGGAATTTGGCAATGACGAACAGGACCTGGGGTGATCAAGGCTGTGATAGGTGGGACCGGAAGGCCAATAGCACTACCATTCCTGAAAGAGAAAACCATGGTTAACTCAAATGGTGCTACCCTTCAGTGTCACAGCACCTAAAGGGCTCCTGCTTCCTTCTCCACCTGCCCCTTAACTGTTGGCCTTTCTCAAGACTCTATCCTAGGATCTTCTGCTCTTCTCCCTCCATACATTCTTTCTCAATGATCTAATACGTGGCATGGCTTCCATTATCTCCTACATGCTGAAAACTAAAATTTCTCTCCGTAGAGCTCATTACTAAGTTTTAGACCCATGTTATCAAGCTGTCTACTGGACATCTCTGTGTTCCTCATAACCTCCTATGATCCTAACCCAAGTTCATGGCCCAACCAGTTAGCGCCCAAATCAGAAACCTGGGAGTCATATTAGAACTTACCTTCTGCCTCCCCATAGCCAATCACCCTCTAAATCTTATATACTCCACTTTATAAAACTTTTTCCACCACAACTAGAAGGACCTACAACTAAAACTATATACAACTATGTGCTGGGGGGATTTGGGGAGGCAAAAAAAGCAGAAAAAAAAAAAACCTTTTTCTAAACTGCACCCTCCTCTCTAAACCCACTGCCTTAGTTGAAGCAGTTACCATTTTTCACCTAAACTATTGCAGTAACCCTCCTAAATTCAACTCCACTTTCAACAAATCCTCCAACTTGCCTTCAGAGATCTTTCTAAAGTGAAGCTCTGATAGTGTTACTCTCTTGCCCAAAACCCTTTAATGGCTCTCCAATGCCAACAGGATAAAATCCAAAAATTTTCAGTTTGTCCTATGAGGTCCTCTACTTAACAGACTAGCCTCATCTCTTATCCTTCCTCTACAGGCACCATAGACAATACTCATGCTATTTTCTATCTGTGAACACACATGCTATTCTTTTGTACACCCTATTCCTTTCACTGGCAATACCCTCTAAACCCACCTTTCTTAACCCCTCCCACAACACATTTACTGACAAAATCCTTCAAGGTTTTAAAATGATCAAATATCTCCTCTATGAAGCTTACTCTGACTCAATCAGAAGAGATTCATCTCTCCTCTGTGCCACCATTATACCTAAATTATGCCTTTATTATTGCACTTTCCATACTGTTATATAACTTGTTGTATATATCTACATCTTGTCTATCAGACCATAATCTTGAGGAGAGAGACTGTACTTTTCCTAGTTCACTACAAATAAATACCTTTAGGTTGAGGATACAATAGACCAATATAGTCATGAAAAAGAAAGGTCTCTTAAAATACAAATTAAAATACAGAGATTTTAATCCTTATCTTCCTGTTGTTCTTGCTTCCAAGCTCTTTTAAGCTATCTGGGCTATCTAAAATAATAAGATAGGAGTAGGAAAAAAAAATCCCATTGTTTATATGTCTGGGAAAACAGAGATCTAAAGGTTTACTATCGTTTACAGAACAAGGAAGAGGCTTGGTTTGGACATTTCCAAAGAAGATCCTAAAGAAGGAATGATAGTAACATTACCATTCCACTCTAAAATTTCCTAATATAGAATTCTGGCAGTAGTATGTGACATTTACAGTACTTTAAGTGACTCATGGGAATATGAACTCTGCTCATTCTGCACAGCAAGAATACCATGGCAGAAACTCAGAAGAGCTAGAAGGGAAGAATGGGGGTGGGGGGAGGTTTGGAAAAATTATAAAAGTTTCTTCATCTCATTCCCCGAGTATACTCCAAGCTATGTATATAGCAGCCAAACTATTCCCTAACTCCAGTTAATCAGAAGATACGGAAATAAAAAATTCTGATAAGAAGTTACAAGCTAGGAACTCCCTAATCTAAACCAAACTAAAAAAAATTATTATTATTTTTTTTTTGGTGAGGAAGATTGGTCCCAAGCTAACACCTGTTGCCAATCCTCCTCTTTTTGCTTGAGGAAGACTGTCACTAAGCTGACATCTGTGGAAATCTTCCTCTATTTTCTATGTGGGATGCCGCCATAGCATGGCTTGATGAGCAATGCATAGGTCCACACCCAGGATGCAAATCTGCAAATCCCAGGACGCCAAAGTGGAGCCTGCGAACTTAACCACTACACCACTGGGCTGGCACCTAAACATTCTTATTCCTCTTCAGTCAAAAATGCATGAGGAGGCAAAGCATGCTAAACTATTTGTTATGATTTAAAGATTAAAAAAGGTTGTTATAAAATTCTTCCCAAGTAAAGTAGACTAATGTGCTTCTGCTGTTAACAAAGTCAATAATTTGCTGGGCTTCAAGGAAGATATCAAAACAAAGTACAAAAGATCTACACCTATGATATTCTATACAGCCTTGGCTATTAGACTTCAAGCCAGAAGACAAAAAGACAAAGGTCAAATAAAATGATCCAGAGCATTAGTGGAAAGGAGGAAAGTATTCCTATAAGTTAAAAGCTTGAGAGGCGAGGGGCTGGCCCTGTGGCCGAGTGGTTAAGTTCGCACGCTCCGCTGCAGGCGGCCCAGTGTTTCGTTGGTTCGAATCCTGGGCGCGGACATGGCACTGCTCATCAAACCACGCTGAGGCAGCGTCCCATATGCCACAACTAGAAGGACCCACGAGGAAGAATATACAACTATGTACTGGGGGGCTTTGGGGAGAAAAATGAAAAAAATAAAATCTTAAAAAAAAAAAACCAAAAGCTTGAGAGGCGATATGATGAAAGTTCCTAAAACCAAAAAAAAAAAAAAAAAAAAAACAGAGCGAAAATAGACATGGTCAATACAGCTCAGAAAATCAGTTACAGAGGTATTATTCAGGAAAAATAAAAGTATTATTCCTCTAACCAGATATAAAAGTAAATTCAAGAAAAGCAAAGTGACACAAATGTTTGAGACACCATGTGAGATAGTTCTAGTCCCAGATTTTCCACTAACCAGCTGTGGTGTTTGAGAAAGTAACTAAATCCCTGAGCCTCTTTTCTTCATGTACAACACAAGGGTTGGAATAGATTCTCTTTAAAGAACTCTTGATAATGTTAATACTGAATATTCTCTTTCAAATTGTGCTGCAGGTCCCCAAGACCACACCCAAGCTTGATGAATGGCTATTAGGACTCACAGGGCTCAGCATATAGTCGTGTTCACGGCTAAGATTTATTACAGCAAAAGGATACAAAGGAAATCAGCAGAGAGAAAAAGCATATGGGGCAAAGTCCAGAGGAAACCAGGTGCAAACTTCTAAGAGTCCTTTAACTCCTTCACCAACTACTTGTGACAACACGTGTGAAGTGTCGTCTACCAGGAAGGCTCATTAGAGACTCAGGGTCCAAGGTTTTTACTGGGAGCTAGCCATGCAGGCACTCTGTCTACCAGTATCAAAATTCCAGACTCCCCAAAGGAAAAGAGGTGTTCCGAATAGCTATCCTCAGCAAGGCTTGCTTGCAAGGCTGGCATCTGGGAACTTGATGGTAAACAGTTCCCACACTGATATAAAAGTTTCCCTAAATAATAAAAGCGGCTTACTGTGGCTAGACTGTTCGTGCAAACACTGTGGTTTATGCTGAACATCTGCTTTGTCCTTGCATTTAAAGTCGGTGTGCAGGAAAGAGTTAACACAGCAGGCCTGAGACTGGCTTTTGTGGAGGCAGCAAGCAGCAGAATTTAGCTAAGCAAGTGGACAAAGCAAAAAAGATTCAAAGGAATAAAGAAGAATCAGAAGGGATAGAGAAAGCAGCGATCACTTGGACGTACTCAGGTGATACTACAACAAAGTATATTCAAGAACAAAGCAAGGAAAACATCACTCTTAGTCCTCTCAAATAAGATTCTCCCTGAATTAAAAGCTCTCCAGGAAACTCAGAAATTCACAGTATACTGTCCTTCTTTAGAAGGCAATCATCTAAGCACACTGTCCCAAGAACAAATTCCTGCTCCAACAGGTGGAAAGCAGGACAGGGAACTACGGATTTCAATCTCAACTGTGTTACCAAATTAGCTCTTTGACATTCTCAAGTTTAACTTCACCAATCAGGACACAAACACCCACAAAGCAGGGGCAAATATTCTCCTCTCCAGCTGACCTATGTCTTGCAGAATCAAATATATCATTCAAAAATATATCACACTTAAGCAATTATCTATTTCACTCGTTGCTATTCTACAGACACTGAAGAAGTGAGTAGTCCTCATCTGGACACTGTCTTTGTACATAAGCTTCCTAAAACTATATTTTAGGCCATCTACTACTGGTTTTATCCACATTTTTTATACCCCTTCCCCAGGTCTTGTATAACAACCTGTTCTAGGTTGCTTCTTTCTCATCAAGAAACAAATAAAGAACTGTCTTCTTCCAAAATAACCTCTCTAGGTAAAAATGTCACAAAATAATCAGGCAATAATAATTTTAGTGACTTTCAAACCATAAACAATTATAATCTTTCAGTTTATTCTAATCTGTTGAAAAATACATTCTTTTCCCCACCACCCCAATTAACTGCTAAAGAAATATATGTTAAAGGACGAGAGTGGGTGGAGAATGGTAGATCACGGCAAGCAAGATTGGAACCTTGAGAAGCAGGACAGAAGAGCTACTAGGAAGGCAAAGAAAAGAACACATGATCATAGCTAAGAGCAGAGGTATTTTCCAAATGTTCCTGGTTCTTCTCAGTATTTTACTTGCAGATTTCAAGTGCAAGCAGAACCATCCAGGAAAGTGGTTTTCAGATCTTTTTGATCATCAGCACACTTTATTTTCCCTCTCCCAGAAGATATTTTACATGGTATCCCAGTATTTAAAACACATAAGAGAAGGAGTTAGTCTGATTAAGAAAAGACTGGGAAACCTGAGGCCTGAACTAGTAGGCCTGCCTGACTCTTTCTTCCTTCTAAGCGCTCCTACAGCAGCCCGAGACAGTGAGGAGGGATTCCACGGGACATTCTGATATGTCCACGGGACATATCTAGGGGAATCCTCAAAGTCGAAGTAGAAGAAAACGACATTTTTCCTCTCCTGGCCACAGTCACCGAACCCCTACTTCACGTGTGTTGTCACGAGTAGTTGCTGAAGGAGTTACGTGCATCCATGTTGTAATTTGTTGATAGTCAGTATATATATTAGTAAAATTAAGGCATGTACTTAAAATAGGAAACATCCTTCACTTCAATATCTATGTAGTACTTTTCTTCGAAAGCATTTTCACATATTTTCATTTTTTTAATTTTTCTTTATTTTTAAAAATATAAAATGATACGTTATTTGTAGTAATTTTGGAAAATTAAGAGTAAAGTTTTAAAATCTTACTGCAATTTACTATTTATTTTCAGCATCCTGCTTTGAAGCAGACAGTATCACTGTTTTTGTTTTTTGGGGTTTTTTTTTTCGAGGAAGATTAGCCCTAGCTAACATCCGCTGCCAATCCTCCTCTTTGCTGAGGAGGATTGGCCCTGTGCTAACATCTTTGCCCATCTTCCTCTATTTTATATGTGGGCCTCCTGCTACAGTGTGGCTTGATAATCGGTGTGTAGGTCCATGCCTGGGATCCAAACTGGCGAACCCCAGGCCACTGAAGCAGAGTGTACAAACTTAACCGCTACCCACTGGGCCAGCCCTAGTATCACTGCTTTTTGGTTTTTGGGTTTTTTTAAGGAAGATTGGCCCTGAGCTAACATCTGTTGCCACTATTCCCCCCTTTTTTTTCTCCCAAAGCCCCCCAGTACATAGTTGTAAATCCTAGTTGTAGATCATTCTAGTTCTTCTATGTGGGTGCCTCCAAAGCATGGCTTGATGAGCAGGGCATAGGTCTGCAACCAGGGTCCAAACTGGCAAATCCTGGGCCGCCGAAGCAGAGCGTGCGAACCTAACCACTCAGCCATGGGCCAGTCCCAGGATCACTGGTTTTAAAGTGAAGAAATCCAAAGAACAGTAGAGTAAAAAATAATACTCCAGAATAAGCTACAAGTACTCTATATACTACATAAACATAAAATTTGGAATAAAAATTTGTATGAGAATCAGAGACTGGAAAAAACCCTTCAAACAAATTTGAGGGAGAGCTCCACTGAAATGACAAAATCAGAACTGATTTTGAAGACCGAGAACCTAGGTTGGAAAGTCAGAAAGAAAGCAGGCAGGCCAGGAAGAGAGAAGTGCATAAATAACATCTGGAGGGCCTGACAACACAGGAGTAGTACTGACTGACTGCTAGCTTTGTAAATTAGAACCAAAGCAAGAGAAAACTCTATTCAGGGAGGAAGCAGAAATTAGCTGACAAAATTATCTTGACCAAACACTTGATCAGGTAAAACCCATCTCTTTCTATTGCTACATGATCAAATCTCCTGATAAAGTGAGTGATCCTAAACAAGATTAGAGATAATTCATCCTAACTTTTAAAAATTAGAGATAAATTTCTATTAAAAAGATCAAATTCTTTATTTTCATACAACATGACACAAATCTTAAGATATTTAGGCTACAGTTGACAGTTTATAATTTCAAACAATTTTTTTTTCTTTTTTTTTTTCCTTTTTCTCCCCAAAGCCCCCCAGTACATAGTTGTATATTCTTCATTGTGGGTCCTTCTAGTTGTGGCATGTGGGACGCTGCCTCAGCATGATTTGATGAGCAGTGCCATGTCCGCGCCCAGGATTCGAACCAACGAAACACTGGGCCGCTTGCAGCAGAGTGCGTGAACTTAACCACTCGGCCACGGGGCCAGCCCCTCAAACAATTTTTTGAACAAAGTAATTTTTAAGACTCTTGATGGAATGCCCTATAATTTTAGAATCTCACATTAACTGTCAGTCTTAATTTGTCCTCTCAAAAAAAAAAGAACGCTAGTAAGTACTTAAGCCATCACATTTGCCTTGTACTTTAATTCACTTCTCCCTTCTTTTAAATAGTTAAAAAGGTGAAGACTAGAGGGGGCCGGCCCCGTGGCTGAGTGGTTAAGTTCTCGTGCTCCAGCTTCAGCGGCCCAGGGTTTTGCTCGTTCAGATCCTGGGCGTGGACATGGCACCTCTCATCAGGCCATGCTGAGGTGGCATCCCACATGCCACAACTAGAAGGACCAACCACTAAAAATATACAACTATGTACCAGGGGGCTTTGGGGAGAAAGAGGAAAAATAAAATCTTTAAAAACAAATTTTTTTTAATTAAAAAAAAAAAAAGGTGACGACTAGAATTTGCATTATCAGCCATCAGTAAGAATTAGACTGCGCTTACTTTGTGGGCCCCATCACAATTTTCTACCTCCAAAGCATTCTGAAATACTGAGCTTTCACTCTTCAAAAGGCAGGATTTCCACTTCAGTGTTAAGAAATAACCTTTGTAAGCAAATATCTGAATAGTATGATGACTTTTAGTCTTATCGATGATAGGATATTACAAATTATGCATAGTTTTATTTCCTCTTTACCTGTTTCTCAGGCCTGTGCCATTGCCACAGCCCCCACCAACCAAAGTCTGTAAAGAAGGTAAAGCTGAACGGCTTAGCTGTTGCCGACTAGGGCCCCTCCTTCCACCGGGCATGTCCGGGAACCAGTCTGCTTCCAGTGCCACCTGTAGTTGCAACCCAGGTTAATGGTTGTCAACCTGTTTCAACTCTGAACAAAAAGAGAAAACATTTAAACATCAGTTAACTATTTTTAAAGTAGGCAATGTAATAAAACAACCAGAAAAACTGAGTGAGCAGGTCTGGTAAAACCAGATTTTCAAACAAATGCTCCCAGTGTCTATTATCTACTTTAAAGAAAGCACTTCTCAAACTCTAATGGGTCAGAAGCCTAAGTTCTGATCTAAGCTCTCTTCGGCATTAGGGAAGTCACAATTCATGTCTTTTGCCAGTTGACTTGTATCATATGAAATATATTACAACTAGATAGAAGTTTACAAGAGACATCTAACATATATATTTTCCAATTCAAATGTAATAGTTCACCATAAGCCATTAAAATACAGGAGAATCAGCACTGTTCAAAACGTTAGGTTTTGTTATCAATGGAGCTGGGTTCTGACATCAGCTGTGTCACATATTATCTGATTTTAACTGAGGCATTTAATGTCTGAGTTTGTTTCTGTATCAGAAAAAAAAAAAGTTTTCCCTGTCCTACAGAGGCTGTTATCAGGACTAACAAAGAGAGATGAAAGTACACCAGTACGCCTTTTAGTTCTTTAAAACTGTTCAAGTGGTACCTCCATACGTTAGAGTAAAAATACTGGAAGGAGCTCAAGCGGATGCCCAGTCCAGAAAAACTGATATAAAATCATTTAGAAAATACTGAAACCGCAGGATTAAAAGATAAATAACAAATAAAGACCCTCACTGAAAAGAAACTGTGTTTTCATCAATCGATGGCAAAATCACGGCTCCGCTAATATGGATACCAAAATCTGTTTCCCAAACAGTACAACTTAAAAGCTGAAGAATGACACCCTGGAAAAACCCCAGTTTTCAAAACATTACTGCAGACTGATCCGACGTTCCCTATTCTTCACAGCTTTTGGCTGTAGACTAACAAACTCCAGGTGAGACAGGCATTCAAACCGTTGGATGGAGGGGAAGAGAAGAAAATTAAGCAAAGGGAAAGAAAAGTGTGGAGCAAAAAACTGGGATGGAAGAGGTGAGAAGACGGGGTTGGGGAAGGTGGATGGCAAGAAACCACAAACTTCAATAGACTGGCCCCTAATAGGGGACGACTAAGCGGTCCCAGCCGCGGAACCCGGAGGGACGAAGCAGACCTGGGACAGTTGGACAGCGCAGCAGCTCGGTAATACTCACGCATGGAGGAGGCCCGGCCGGTGGGGCGGGATCCCTAGGAGGTGGTGGCGGCTTTACAGGCTGGACCGCAAGCAAGAGAACTCCCTCCCCGCGCTGAGGAGCTCCAAACCAGCTGCTTGTCCGCAGGCCGTCCCCACCTGAAGAGTTGAGAAAAGGTATCCAGACTTCGGGCTGCCAGACTCAGACCCAGACCCCGACGGAGACCCAGACTCCGAGTCAGTGCCAGAGTCAGAGCCCGACCCCGTCAGCACTCATTCTCAGCCTCCATTACCGTGGAGCTGAGGAGACGTGGCAGCGCACGGCGATGACGTCAGCTCCGCGACGGCCGGACGTCCCAGCCGCGAGCCGGCCCCCGGAACCACAAATGCAGCCCGGGGAGAGAACGCCCCACCCACTCCTACTTGCACCTGCGCAGTGGGACCCGCTTTCTCCGCGGGGCTCCTGGTCCCGCCTAGCTGGGCTGCGCTGGCCAGCCTCTGTTTTTCCTCTCCCGGCTTCAGTCACCGAGCCTCTACGATGTGCGGGCACGACGCTAGGGGACTTTCTTGTTATCTCATGGACTCCAAGTAACAATCATGTATAAGTGGTAGCCCTCACTTTACAGATGGGGAGGTTAGAAGACATCACTTAAGGTCACGTCACAGCTTTGTAAAGGAGCCCAAGTCACGAAATCGTGCTTGAGCATCCAACGGTGCGCTTATTGTATGCTAAGTAAAGGACTAGATAAATGGTGGAGTTACAGGAGTGAATACTACAAAGAGCTCATAGTCTAGTGGAAGAAACAAGACACTAGGAAAACACAGTAATTACAATTTATTACAATAAATGCAACATTAAAAATACGCCCCAGGTCCAGAGATAGCACGTAAGACAGTGTAATAAATCCTGTGGAATGGTGGTGGTGTCAACACAAAGAAAAGCCTCACAGACAGCTTGAGGTTTAAAGCTCCTAGAGACTCCTAGAATGAATAGCTGTTCTGGAGGAACGGCTTTCTAGTAAAGGGAGTGGGAGAGAAAAGGGGAAGGAGGTTGGCAATATCATGATGAATTCAGACACTGCCGATAGTTTGATATTAGAAAAAAAGGTAAAAATGTCAAAAGGAGAGCTTGTGTGAGATCTCCACTCCAGAGAGTTTAAGCACCTTGAAAGAAAGTCCTTCTATTGAGTGTATGATTGGTTAACCTTTGAGAGTATTTTGTGTGTGTGCCAGTCTCTAGACTAGCAGCTTTTACATATTTCATTTAAATCTCATAACCCTTTGATACTACCATTGTTCCTATTTGACAGAGGAAACTGAAGAGAAGTTAAATAATGTGTTGAAAATAAGCCAGCTAATAAGTGGCAGAGCCAGAATTCAGAGCCAGACTGACCAATATCAAAATCACTAAAGTTAGTAATATTCCCAAATATTCTTATTGTTCTAATGTATCACAAAACTTTCATTCATGAATCCATAAACTCCAACATGGATCATTACATATCTTCATTGTATTCACCTCTAGGTGTAAGGAATTTTGTACATTTATTGTCCCATTTGCTCTGTTAACTGTTTCCTCAGTTGCTACATTAAAACTCATTTGTCAGTTTTCTGTTGGCTCACCAGCATCCCTCCTTCATTCAGCAATTATTTATTTAGTGCCTACTGTGTACCAGGCACTGTGTTAGTGAACAAGACAGATATGTCCCTGCCCTCCTGGAGCTTATATTTCAATGAGGGAAATATTTATTTAGTAAATAAAATAATTACAGATTTTAATTATTATGAAGGAGACAAATGAGCTAAGGTAGAAAATAAGTGGGTGCTATTTTGAGGGGATATGTGTGTGAGAGAATGACATTTTAGCAGAAACCTGAATGTTGGGAAGGAATCAGAGATGCAGAGATGGGAGAGAAAAGCAGTCCAGATAGAAAACAAACTTTATGCAGAGATTCTAAGGTGGGTTAGAGCTTGACGTGTTTGAGAAACTTAAGCATGGTGAGCAAAGCGGAGTGTGGCACGAAATGAATTGGAAGAGAGGAGCAGCAGCTTGAACGTATATAGAGGGTCTTGTAAACATAGCATTTGCATTTTAAATTAGTGGCTGGCATAGGACCTAGAAATCTGTGGTTTTCATAAACTCTAGGAGGATTCTGGCACTTACTCACATATACGAACCGCTGGAATAAAACACCTCACCTATTAAGGAAAAGAAACAATTATTATTTGGATTCATTTGTCACATATTCCTGCCAGGTATAGGGTCTGCTTATATCCCAGCCTGTCCCTACTCTTCCACACAGATAAACATTACAAAATTGCAGAAAATACTGATTTATTTTCATTTCAAAGAAATGTGTTGACAATGCAATTTCCATTTTCTTCTGATTGCAGAAAACTGAAATTATGGAAATTTAACAACTTTTTTATTAGAGTTTTTATAGTTATTCTCCACTATATTCATTTTAGACTAACTTTGAAAGCAAAGCTTATTGTGGTGTCATCGATGTAGTACACTGCCTTAGCTATGTGCTTTTGAGAACCATTCATTTTGAGATACTGCCCACTTTCCCAGAAGCAGAAGAAACTTTAACTCAAGTTTTCATTTGGATTCCTCAAGAAGTCTTGTATGATATAGGATTGGGGATCCATTTTCTCCTCTTGCCTATTCACCCAAAGTGAGCGATATGGCCCATTCCTAACTTATCAACATTATTTTATCTTCCACCATTCCTCAACACGCATCCTAAACCCTCCACTCCCACCAACCTAGATTCTACCTCCACCTTCTGCAAATTACGGCTTTCCCTTTTTTAGGGTCTCCAGCAAAATATTCCTTAAATACAACATTTCCTTTTGTTCAGCTTGGAATACGCCCTTCCTGCCCCTTTCTCGCGATTTCCAGTCCATATGGACCTTTCCCTCCACTGAAATCAGTAGTGTTTACATATTGTCGTAATTTGTAAATTATCTCTGGGGAAGCATAACTGTCTTCCCACTAGTTCTAAACTCTTCGAAGGAACAGATCTCATCTTCTCCTTCCATGTATTTCCACAGAGCCTAGGACGTTACCATGCACATTTTAGACAACAGGTAAATACTTATAGTATGATGGCTATATATGCCTATACTTTCCTGTATATGCCTATATATGGCTATATACCTGCACTGTCCAGTATAATGTTGCCCACTGGATTTTTTTCATGTCTGTCACTCCAAATGTTACAAATTCCTATTACAAAGACACTTGTGTTACACTATTTGCAACCCCTTGGGGTCTAACAGTGCTGTGTACGTTTGGGTGGTCAACAAATCTATATCATTTAATAAGAAGCAGTTTGACATAGAGGAAAGAACTATCCAACTTAGGTTGTGCCCCTAACTGTAAAGCTGTGGGCAGGAATCGTATCCTCTCCGACGTTCAGTTTTCTGACTGCAGAGAATAAGTAAGATGTTTTCAGTATGTTACACAATGTAAGAAATTACCTTTAGTATCCCAGGGGATGCCACTCCTGGGCTCCGATTTTATGAGAGAGAGAGAGAGAGACATGCATCTTGAACCCTTCACTCCACTTCGACACGAAGCGGCTAACTATATAGCTTGGCTCTAAACCAACGAGCACGACTGTGTGCGCCCTGCCCGCGCAGCACCGACGCGCGTGCACTGCGTGGGGCGGGGCCTCCGCTTCCCGGCACCGCCTTCCCAGGGCCGCAGGGCCGGGGGCCGGGCTTGGGGGCGGGGCAGAGCGGTGCGCAGCCCTCTTTGTGCGGGGCGGCCTCCGCCCACGAGGTGCGGCCCCGAGGCCATCTTTGTGCGGGGCTGCGCTTCTGCCGGCGCCGCCGTGGGGACTCCGCAGTGGGTGGACTGGCCATGGAGCGGTGGGCTCTCTTGCAGCTTCGGCTGGGGCTGCTGTTGCTGCTTCTGCCCCCCGTGCCGGGCCGCCAGAAGGAGTCAGGTGAGCTCCGGGCAGGGCTGAGCCTGCGGCTGGGGCTCGAGCTCGGGCTCGGTCCGGAGACCCTCTCCCGCCCCGCTCGCTGCCCGGGGAGGCCGGCGTCTGGCTGATGCTTGGCGGCTGTAGCGCAGACCGGGGCCGAGGGCACCGGGGCGCTTTGGAGCGAAGATGAGAGTATCTAGGTGGCTGGCGCTGCTTCTCCTGCGCAGGACCCTGGAGAGTAACCCATCCTCTGGAGTTCTGAGTGATAATGAGGAGGAGAGGGAATTCCCCAGCGGGGATCGCCTGCGCCTGGCTACTCTGCATCTCCCTGAAACACCCTGGGGGATAATTCGTGTATGTGTGTGCATGCGTGTGTGTGTCCATTGCCATAAGAGATGAAAGGAGAGTTAATGTCTGTGGCTTTTAATTGATCCTCTTTATGGGGCTCAGTTTGACTAGTAAAAGGTGAGAATCCGTGTCACTCTCCAGTTTATCCCTAGCCTTCTGAGTACCAGGCATTAAGCCTGGAAATTTTCCAGTTTCTTGGACACCTGATGGCCGAGTAGAGGCGCAGAATTGACGTGAGTGCTGCAGAGTTACAGAACCAATCCTTCCTGGCTTTTCGTTTCCACTTGAGAGGAGGGAAGGGGGTGTCTGAAAGTTTTGGCCTTTTGTTGGTTCTGTTATTTGCTGTTAGCAAATAAGCTCAGGGCTGTTTTGTTAACCTTCATTTACTTCACTTTTTGAAGGTTCAAAATGGAAAGTATTTATTGACCAAATTAACAGGTCTTTGGAGAATTATGAACCATGTTCAAGTCAAAACTGCAGCTGCTACCATGGGTGAGTTCTTTTCTTTGATGTGTCTTTGAGGATTTAGTTCTTGCCACAAGGAAGTCCCCTAAGATCCCAGAGGACCTTGGTTGCAGTGGTCAGAGAGCCAAGCATGTTTTGAGATCAGTCGGAGTTTCTGAGGTGGTTTTCCTATTTCTAGGGAATAAAAATGCCCTGGGATAGGGGAGGTCAGTGGGCCTCAGCATTGTCAAGTTAGCTCATGTCCTTGTCTGTTTTCCCCACTGGACCAACAGCTTCTTGAGGTCAAGGCCTATGTTGTATCCCCAGTGCTGGCCTTCAGTAGGAACTCAGTAAATGAAGGAATTGAACAGATTTATAAATGAATCTAACCTTAAGATTCCTCTTGGTTATTTTTAAAGTATGCAAATTAGGGCTGGAGTGTAGTATGGTAGACAGATTCCTTTGGAATCAGCCCTGGGTTCTAGCCCCAGATGGCCCACGGATTGTCCCTGTGGCAATACACTTAACTTCTCTGGGTTTCAGATTTCTCTTCTGGTAAATAACAAGGTCCTTTTAGCTCCTCCTTATGTTATTCTATGACTC